TTTACACACAGATGCATTTCTGTGGACAGGCATCATTTGCAATACCACCGGTTCCTATGATTTAGACTTGCGAAATGCTGCAAGGGTGCAGAGGAGACAGCCAGCTGAAATGCCGGAGCCTGCCCCGAATCAGCTGCTGGCAAATATGCCTCGTAAGAACACGCGGGGCCACGGAATGTTCTTGCGCTAAAACCACAGGAAGCACCTGCACATTCACTGCTGGCACTTTGGAACTTCTCCCTGCCGGGCTCGTGGTTGGCTCCTCTGTGCCTAGCACTGAGCTTGGTATCCAGTGAGATTCTGGACGGAGTGGAGAGACCTGTGTGGGCACTATCGAAGGCAGCCTCAGGTGTGGCAGACACAGACCCGACAAGGGACCGCGGTGTGGGAGTGGGGGCCTTGCGCAGGGGCTGACCGGGGCGTGCAGCCTGGGTCAGTTGCAGAGTCCGGCTGAAAGCAGATATCTTAGGAAAGGAGCCAGGAGTCAGGGCTGTGGCCCTGGCTGCTGCAGCACAGAGTGACAGTTGTTTGTGTGTGTGTGGGGGCGACCTGCAGCTCTGGGGCAGCAAGCTTCACCTTTCATTGCTCGCCCCCCACCCCGGCACCGCAGAGAAGGGAGTTCAAGAGCAGCACAGCAATGCCGCCGTGGCCTGCTGCAGCTCGGGACCTTCCCAACCACGCGCTCAGGTGGAACCACACCCCGCGGTGCAGGTGGGGAAACTGAGGCAGCCAGGCCAGAATCCACACGGGGCTCTTTTCCATCCCCCGCTGTGGGGCTTCCTCACAGAGATGGGGGCGGCAAGTTCCCTCCTGCGAGACTCCACCTAACCCCAGTTTCTAGCAACCCCAAGCTTTCAGAGGCTCTATACCCCTTTCTTTACCTTCTCTTCCTTTTTTTTATAGAGTGTTCTCCCTCGGGGCCCCTCTTCTGTGAGTCACCAGTCTCTGGGACATTCCCTGTCTCCATGTCTTCTCCCCTGAGACTGCCACTCCCAGAATCTGCCTCCCTCCCTCCCTCTCGGGCCATTGCCAGAGATGTCCCCCAAGCCCATAACTCCCAGTCTGGTCATGAGGAAAGCATCAGCAAACCCCCAAAGAAGGGCCTTCTAGCACATTCCTGAGGGGTCCCGCCCAGCTGGTTCAGGTCACGGAACAAGGAAAGTCTGACACACCACCGGGGACGGCCCTGGATGGGGCCCGGCAGGAACATTAGTGCGGTCGAGAGCAGGCTGGAGTTGAGTTAGTGGGACAGTGGCGGCCTCCCTGGACTCAGGGTCAGGAACCTAGTCACAGGCGTGGGAAAAGTTAATACTGGGGCAAACGGCTTGAGAGAACAATGGGAACTCTGACTCAGATCAACAAGTTTTCCATGAATTTTAAGTTACCCCAACATGAAATATGTATACATAAAACCACAGAGCACATGTGTGTCTGTGGAAGGTCTGTATGGGCGTGGACATATTGCCAGGCCAGGCCAGGCCCCTCCTCACCTCTGTGTCTGTCCTCCCCTAAGCAGCCACCAGAGGGCGCCCCGAGGACCCAGGCTGATTTCCTCTGCCCCCCTCCTCGGCCCATACTCCCCCAGGCTCCTTGGGGTAAAAGCTGCAGCGCTCCACAGACCCCAAAGCCCACAAGACTCCCTGTGCTCCCCCTGGCCCTCGCCTCCTCCCCCTTCCTCTGCTGCAGCCACACTGGCATAGGTGACCGTGCCCCGGGACCTTTGCTATGACTCCCTCCCCCAGCTGGCCCCGGCTCCTTTTATTTTCACAGACAAGACCTGCAGTGTCAGCCAGAGGTGGGGGGGAGCCAGAGGACCCACCAGAGACAGAGTGGGGAGCACAACAGGGGGATTACTGAAATCCACTGCTGGGGTTGGGGGGCGGACAAGAGAGGTCTGCTGCGCTCTGGGGGTCCGTCCCAGGCCGGGGATAGAACTCAGGCTGCAGTGGCTGCTCATAGCTTCACAGTGCTCTTGTGCCCCCCCCACCCCGGGAGGCCTTCCTCACATTGTTGAGGTCTGGGGTTCCCTCCCTCCACCCAGATCCCTCTCACCTGGGTCCCTCCTGCTAAACTCAGTCCTCACCTCCAGCCTACCCTCTGGGATCCTTCTCTGACCCCTCCAGCCCAGGTCACATCTCCTGGCCAGGTGCTCTCAAGTCTTAGCTGTGATTTTTATTCCCATTGTGTAATGATTCAATTATTTTGTTTCTCCGAGGGCCCAGGAACTTCCTTTGGGGCCTGGGTCTGTCACCAGCCCTTGCGCAGGCCCTCAGTAGTAAATGCTACATGAATGAAGCAGAGCAGTCAGGTTGGAGAGCTCCTTCAGGGAGTTCTGGTCAGACCTGTTGGGCCACAAATAGGAGCTGGCCTCCTGCAGGCCAGCAAAACTGCCTCTACAACTCTGACTCCAGGTACCCCGGGGGGAGCCCTCCAAGCTCTCACCCCCTTGGCAGCCGTGATCTGGGGCACCGCAGCCTGTCCCTGCTCACTCTGGGCCTCAGTTTCCCCATATACTCAGAAGAGGAGGGGCAGGGGCAACTGCCCAGTTACTGCCCTGAGCCCACTTTCGGCTCCAGCCTCCCTCCCTCACTGAGCGTGCACTGCCCTCTGCTGGTCAAAGTTGGCACTGTACGGTCACATCAGTAGTTCGTATTTGGTGCGTAGTAGGGGATTTGCCTTTTTTGATGAGGGAATGATTAAAAGGATGGAAATTTTAATGGGTGGAAAATTTAATGCATGAATGACACCACCTTTGTGCATAGCACTGATGTAGCATTGGCCACGTTCCTCTCCAAATTCCTGGTTTAAGCACAGGGTTGGCTAGAGAACCATTGAGGGTTCTTGAACAGGAGCACGAGGGCAAACCATGTTCTTCTGAGTAGCTGCCGCTCTTCGTAGAGGTGTCTAGAGTGAGGTTGGTCTGCCTCAGCACTGTGGACAAGTGGGGCAGGTTGTTCTCCAGGATGGAGCCATCTGGGGCCCTGTGGGGACAGAGAGGCAGTCCTGGTTCCGACTGGCTCCAGACCAATAGGGCCTGATTGACAGACACTGCACGTGGGTTCCCCCCCTCCCCTCCCCCGCTCCCACCCTCAGGTCTGTGAGAATGAGTGGTATAAAGTGAGAAGTGTGGACTCAACAAGACAAATCCAGGGTCCATTTCAGCTTTCGCTGGTTGGCTTGCTGCTGTACTCTGCTGGTCTCTTACCCCAGCTGCAAAATGGGTGCATGGATGGTGGATGTAGTGGGAGCTGGTTTTGGCTGGTCGCAAGAAATGTGAGCCAGGAGCCTCATGGCCACAGATTTAACCCCTTTATTTTATCTATTTATGCACAACACCCAGTTCTGGGTGTTGAGCGCGAGGATTCCGCCTCCTGACTTTGCCAGACTTTCACTCCCGCCAGCAGCTCCTCCCAAGCACAGCCTAAATCCCACCTGCACCTCCCAGTGGGGGCTTATTTACGCTTTTCCTGTAAGGAATACACAGCTATTCGTTAGATTGAATAGCTGTTCAATCTAAAATCACATCAAGTGCTGCCTGGTACGGGAGAACATCATGTCAGAAACACTGAGCTTCCCGCTCTAGTCCTGAGGTCTCAACAGGTCCCCAGAAGGAGCTTTTGCAAAGATTGCAGGATTTAGGGAGCCCTTACAGGGCAGATTCTGGCTCACAGGGTCTCCAGGCTTGTGTTTTGGGGGCAACTGCAAGGAAGGGAGTGAGAAATCAATTTTGGTGGCCTCATAAGGTGATTTTATTTCCTGCTGTGTTCACTTGGTAAATTAAAAAAAAAAAAGATTTATCTATTTATGCATACAAGAACTGGGGTACAGGCCAAAGGTGCGGGGATGGGGTGGGGTGAGAGGATTCACCAGAGACAGAGTGGGGAGCAGAACAGGTGGATCCACTGAAATCCACTGCTGAGGGGAGCAGTGGGGAGACAGTTCCCTTTCTGCCTCCCTCTCCCCACAGCCTTGGTTCTTTGCTGCCTAGTCTTCACTGGATGCGGAGGGGAGGGGGTGTCTGTCCCCAGATTTGCCCTTCAACCTTAGGGCGACTGGGCTCAGGAGCAGCTGGACCTCAGGTTATAGTTTTGTTAGCAGGAAAGACTGGGTGCAGCCTTCGCAAGCCACCACCAGCCCCACCCGCCCAGGTGACTCCTCCTGTGCTCAGCCCCAAGTAGAGGGTCCTACCCAGGTCACCACAACACTCTAGCCTTATCTTCAAATCCCCAGCCCCGGGGTGTAAACCGAAACTGGGCTAGGAAAAAGGAGTCCGACCTTTACCCAGGGATCCTCAAGTATTTCCTGCTGCCCCACCCCCTTCACCTCACCTGGGGCCCAGCCCTAAGCCTGCTGTGACGACAGCCAGGGGACTGGCCAGCAGCGCTGGGTTTGGCCCAGACCGCAGTGGTGGTAGCTGTGCATCTTCAGAAAATCCACGCCTCCGGCCTCCTGGGCCTCAGTTTCCCCCTTTTGTGAAATGAGGCAGCCCTCTCGATAATGGGTGACCCAAGAAGGACCAGCCCTATGTTCCAGCGGCCTCTGGCCCTGGACTAGCCTCTGATGCCATAGGCCCCCTGAACCGAACCTGTAACTGTACCATTTCGCGCGTAGAAAACTTTGAGTCGCAGGCTCCATTCCGAACGCGGGGAATCCCTGCCAGATCTTCCTTGCGGTTTTGGCTGGCCGGTCTCCAGCGCTGGTCGCTGTTCGGGGCACGGCTGAATGGAAAACCCGGAATGGATTACCACCTGGGCCTGGATCCCGTCGTGAGAGGTGGCCGAGGCGACTCAGCCGCGTCCCGAAGGCGTGTCGTCGGGGCTGGGGCGGGGCCGGCAGGGACTTGGAATAGGAAGAGGGGCAGGTGCAGCCGCGGAGCGGGCGGGAGGAGGGCGCCAAGTCTGCCGCGACCCTCCCCAGGCTCCCTCAGCACCAGGGTGGGACCAGTTGACCGTTTCCTGGCCCCCCTGGGGCAGGGGCGCTGGAGAGCCCCGGGGTGGACCATGGCCGTGAGATTCCAGGCGAGTAGCCCGCTTTTGGCGGGAGGGGGAAGGGATCGGGCTGCAGTGGGGGCAGGGACCCGAACGCAACACCCCAGACCACTCTCTGCCTACGTTACCGATGGGGAAACTGAGGCCCGGGGGATGTGATAGCTATTCCTAGGCTAGCCGGGGGTGGCCAGCGAGGCGCGTCCAGTCCGGCCGGCCCCAGAAGCTGCTTCCCCAGCTTGCTCTGCACCGAGGTCTGAGCAGGTGACTCTGTAGACCTGGGTTCTAATCCCGATTTTTGTGTAACTTTGGGTCAGTGAGTCAACATCTCTCCCTATCTCATTGCGAAGAGGGTGACAGTCGTTTTTAAGAAGGGGTTCAGGGGATTCTAAAAGCGACTGCTTTGGGCACCTGCACACAGTAGGTGCCCAACCAGCACGCTCCCATCGGTCCCCAGAGGGATGGGCTGAGGGGCAGCAGACCTCATTTGGATGCTTTAAGTGAGCTAGGAGAGGCACGGGAGAGGGGACCCCGGGACCCCTATTTATTGGGCGCCTGCTGACTACGGAACCGTTAATTTGCATTGCCAGGCCGAGATAGGATGGGGCACCATTTTATACTCAGCAAACTGGGCTGGGCTGGGAGGAGAGGATCCCTGTGTCTCTAAGTGGAGGTGGGTGGCGGCACCCTTTGTCCCTTAGAGGTGGGTGATCCGATTCTTAGCTCACTGGGTCTCAGGCCCAGCAGGAGGGGTGGACTGAGACCCCAGAGTACTTGGCTCTTCCAGGCCACACTGCCCCAGGCTCCAGAGCCGGGCAGCTCTGGTTCCCGCCGGCTCCCTCCAGGCTGCTAGGAACATATCCCAGAATCCCCTCCCTAACCGAATACTTGGGAACCCCTCCTTCTCCGGCTCCCCAACCCCCCCTTGGTGCCCTTGTTCTGGAGGAAGGGGGAGGAGTATGGGGAGGGGGGGCTAGGACTGTCTTCTCTGAGCCACCACCTGGGGCTACCTTTGTGGTAGGGGAGTGCCCAGTCCCCTCTGACTCCCGCTGGTGTTTGTGTACAGCAGGGGTGCCTGGGCCCCGCCTTCTCAGCATGCACCTGGTGGGGCGGGAGCTGGGGGTGCTGAGGGGACTTAGGAACTCCGGACAAAACTGGCTGCATTATGGGAGGAATCTGCCTTTTCCCACCATTCAGCCATTCCTTTCTATCTTCCTGCAACCCTGCTGGTCTCTTGAGTACCAGCTGGAGTCCCAGGCCCTTGAGCCCTACTGGTCAGGACACCCCCCACCCCCCACTGGAGTGGAGTAAGGCAGACACGTGGCCTGGAACATTCCTACAAGAAGAGGCAGTGTCTCTAGGGCTTTGAAGGATGAATAGGAGTTTGCCAAGGAGTACAGTACAGCCTGTGCAAAAGCCTGGAGAGGAAGCTGATTGGGCTCCCAAGAGGTGCCAGTGACTGCACCCAGAGCCGGGAGGGGCAGCCCACCCCACAGTCCCAGCTCAAGAGGGAAAACCCAGCGCTTATGAGCTGATAATTAAACAGAGTAGTTTCAGGGTTTGGGGGATGCTATGGATGAAGCGTAATAAATAGTCTGTTAGCAGACGGGGTTATAGGGTGCCAGGTGAAGTCAATTTTGGGTTCTGAGAGTGGGGTCCGTGTGTTAACTCTGGGGTGAGTTCCACCAGAGCTCCCCTTTCCCGAGTTTCTCCACAAGAAGGAGGCATTGTTACCCAAAGGGGCAGGTTTACTGTGAAAAAAGGGAGAGGAGTAAAGGACTCTTGCAGAGACACAAGCGGGCAGAAGGGGCTGCCCCCAGGGCGACAGGTTCCCCAGAGGTCCCCATGGTTGCCGGCGGGCAGCTGCCTCCACCGTGTGCAGAGTCAAAACAGTGGCAGGGGTCACTGCGGGCGGGAGGCCACTGCTGGCACTGGCGTGAGGAGCCTGGGCACAGGGCCTAGGCAAGCAGAGGGCTCTGCCCCTCCCCACCGACTCAATGTCATCTCCGCGGGAGGGCCTCATCCCCCCATGGAGTTGCTGGCCTGGTGACCCAGTTACTTCTATGCTGTGAGGAGGCCAGTTTGTAAGGACCAGGGAGTCCCTGCAAAGGCCCTACGGCCCGTGTCCCCACCTCTGGCCTGTCCTTCCTGATACTTTCCACAGCAGCTGACACTTGCCGAGGCAGCTGACGCCTAAGGAGTTTTCACTTCTCCAGCAGGCTTAACAGCCACGTTCATCACTTCTAGCTGCCCTCCAGCTTCCCGCATTGTGGTAGCCAGGTCTCTGGTCTTGGCAACTTTCCTACTCTTAACCTCCATCACTGAAGTTTGACCAGCCAGGGTGGCCAAGGAGGGGTGCGTTTGAGTGAGACCCCAGTGGCAAGGGTCAGCCCCCCACATGCAAGTCTTGGGATTCCGGGCACAGGACAGGCGGGAGGTGGGGGGCAAAGGTTGGAGGTGAGCTAAACTGAGGTGGGCTGGAGGGTTAGGTTGCCCTGAGGGTGTTGGCAAGTCCTAGGGGATTTTAGACAAAGCCTCCAGTAGCCATGGAGATGAGCCTGCACAAGCCGAGACAAGCCCCATCACCTGGCCCCTCCTCCCTGGAGGCTGTTTGTTAACATAGGCCAGGAAATAAACATTCTTAGGGGCTTGCAGAAAGGGTCAAATCAAAGCAAGTAAAAAAGACTGTCAGACGCAAAAGTCAGGCTGGTAGGTGGATGCTGAGGCCCAGGTAAGTCTTACCCAGACTTACCTTTGTGCTGTGTGACCTCTGTCAAGTAACTGAACCTCTCTGGGCCGCCCTCTCCTCCCCTGCAAGGCAGAAATAGCTGTGGCAGTGAAATGTTTCAGTGGGAGGGAGGCACAGGGGTGAGAGGATTTACTGGAGACAGAGCGGGGGTGGGGGGGACAGAAGGCGCAGCCGAAATGGCCTGCAAAGGAGCAGGGCGGGCGACATGCATGTGCTCAAGGCACGGGATTCCAGGCTCCCTTTGATGGCTGTTTTCTCCAGACGCCAGCTTGCATCAGTCACCTGCTGGGATGCCGGTGTCCAACTCTGTCCTTTGACCTGAAGCCTCCTGGTCGGCCAGGCTCCTGCACTCCAACCGGGCTGGTTTTTCTGGTCCCGGCCGTGGTGGGTGGTCTGGCTCCCAGGGCAACCCTATCACTTCCCTCTCCTATTCTCAGCTCCAAGCCTGTCTGCAGGGCCAGGGGTGGGGGCTTAGCTTTTAGCCGCATGCAGTGATTCTGGGGGGTAGTAGCAGAACTGTAACAGGGTGGTCCCCGGGAAAAGGGTCCTGTAACAGCACCCCTTCCTAGAGCCGCTCGGGGTGAAACAGTTGGGGACTTGCTGGCAGCCAGCGTGAGCGAGCTGCTTATTACCTTAACACCATTCACTTCTCAGGCGTCTGCTCCCTGCAGCAACCATCCCAGAGAGACAGGGCAGGGGAGGGGCACCCCCTTTCCATATGGGGAAACCTAGCCACACAGTTTTGGAGTCTCAGCCCTATTTGCTGACCTCTCCTAGGTACCAGCAGGGCCAGGAGGGCCGCCCCCTGGCTTTGCTCCTTTGGCTGCTGGGGCAGGAGCAGGAATGTGCTGCTCTGGGGAGGTCGGAAACCTCTAAGAAAAGGCACCGGAGCAACTGTGAAGGGCCAACTGTGAAGGGCTGTGAAGGGCTGAAGGGCGCTGGGGTAGCAGAAGCAGCTCCCACCCACGTGGGGGGTGGGGGGCGGCTGCCCAGAGGCTGGGCAGCCCCACAGAGAGCTGGGGGTGGGGCTGGGCTCCTCACCCCTGCTTCTTCCTGCTTCAGAGCTGCCCGTCTGGCCTGGGCACCCAGCCTCCGCCAGCCCGTGACTTCCCCTCGGTGCCTTCCGTTCCTCACCTGGGACCTGGGGGTGTGACATGCCCGCCTTGGGGCGTGGGCTCAGGCGAGAGGGCCGTGCAGGCCTGGCACCAAGCGCCCTGCAGTCAGGCCCTGCTAGAGGCCTCGGGCAGCTCCCCGGGGGCGGCCCTAGGGCCCGAGGGGAGGGTGCTGAGGAAGGTCAGCTTAGAGCTGAGACGGGACAAGACAGAACTTCACCCTCTGGAGCCGAGTTTCTAGAAAGGAAGGACAATGGCCAGGTTCTTAGTCTAGGGCTGTCAGGGCCACCTCACCCGGGGCTCTGCTGGAGCCGAAGCTGAGGTGAGGGGAGAGTGAGGCGGAGGTCCAGGATGCTCCAGCAAGCGTAAGGCCCGAGGCCGGCGGAGTGGCCAGGAGGCCTTGTCTGGGCAGAGTGAGGAGGTGAGGGCTGAGGAGGTGAGGGCGGGAGGAGAGGAGGGGGCGGGGCGGGGCTGCAGGAGCTCTGTGGGGAGGACTCTGGCTTTCTCCCCTGGAGTCCAGGAGGGCTGTGGGCAGGAGAGGGGCAGCATCTGGTACAGGTGTTCAGAGCTGCCTTCTAGTGGCCACTGAAGGGTGGACAGACTGACGGAATTGGGGATCAGGATAGAGGGAGTCAACAGCTAGAATGACCCGTCCGTCATTGACGTTCTCGCTGTTGTTCTTTGTTCCCGTTTTCAGTTGTGTAACTGACAGATGACCTCTTACATCTAACTGGTGTCTGCTTGGGTCCCCCTGTGGGAGGCCAAGTCTCTCCCTGGCAGTGAGCTATGTAGGTACCCAGGACCTGGGGGCACAAAGTTACAAAGCCACGGATACCGCTGTGCAAAGGTCCTGGGGCAGGCCCATGCTTGGAGGATAGTGAAGGCGCCATGTGACGGGAGCGAGCTGCCTTGGCCTGGCAGGCCACCCCGGTGCCTCCCTATCCCTGGGACTAAGCTAGAACTACCAGAGAAAAGGGCCAAGAGCTTGGCTTCTCTTCTACCACTACACTATGGCTCGAACAGGGATTTCTCAGCTCTGGCACTATTCACATTTGGGGCTGGATCATTCCTTGACCTGGGCACCGTAGGGTGCTGAACAGCACCCCTGGCCAATCCCACTAGGTTCCAGGAACAGTCCCAGTGATGACACAGACATCCGTAGACAATGTCTAGTGTCCCCTGTAGGCGAAACTTTCCCCAGTGGACTTAAATCCATTTTGCAGATGAAAAAGCAGAGGTTTCCAGAAAGGTTGTAGTTCCCTCAGACTCAGACCTTGGGGGTATCAGAACTGACTCCCCGGCCTACAAACACACAGGGATGGGGACCCTGGACTGCTGCAGTGAGCCCACTGTGGCTCATTTCCTGCCCCCTCCCACCAGGTGTTGGACATGGAGGAGATGACCATCTGGGAGCAGCACACAGCCACCCTCTGCAAGGTGAGGTTGCGTCCTGCAGCGACCGCGGGCCCCCAGGCCACCCAGCAGGAGGGGACAACGTCCATCCAGCTGGACACGCAGCTTCATCCCGTCCCTCCCCCTTTAGGATGCTCACTGGGGCTTTGGCATCGCCATCTCTGACAGCCGAGACCGGTCAGGCGGATCTGTGGTCATCTCAGATGTGGTGTCCAGAGGCCCGGCCGCGGGCAGGCTGCAGTGAGTACACAGGCCAGGCCCAGCGGGGTGGGGCCGGGGAGGGGCGGTGTGGACCAGAGCCGGAGGCTGGTGCCGGCACCTTCCTGCTCTGTCAACACAGGACACTGGCAGCAGGACGCTGGACGCCGTCCAGGCCTCCACGGCAGTTCTCAGGGTCACAGTGACCCCAGGCCGCTCCTGGGACGAAGGGTCCCGAACACCTCTTTTTGGCAGTAATGCTCATAGCCGCGGGACGGGAGGCTTCTGGGAGTGGTGTTGGGAAAATGGCTCTGGGAACCGAGTGGCTGATGGGTGACAGGCTCGCTCAGGGCCCGGGACCCCTCCAGAGACAAAACACAGTGTACATGGACCGGGAGACGGGGCGAAGAGCAAGAAGAGGGGGCTTTGGGGGAGGGTGGGGGGACACAGAGATGCCCATTGTAATCGCAGCTTCTGAGCTTTGACTGCGTTTGATTGTGACAGCAGGCCCAGTGATCGGCCCCCCATTTTACAGCTGGGGACACTGAGGCCCAGAGGCTACTTGTCTTAATGAGCCTGGACATCAGTGCATTAGAGCGGAGGCTCGTAGTAGACCTGGGAGCCTGGAAGGTGGGAAGGTGGGCGGTGGAAGCCGTGCTGGTCCTCAGGGAGGGCGGGGGAGAGGGGTCCCTGGAAAGCGCCTCCCTGAGACCTGGCCTCTGCCCTCAGGACAGGGGACCGCATTGTCATGGTCAACGGTGTCTCCATGGAGACCGTCACCTCCTCCGTGGCCATTCAGATACTCAAGACCTGTACCAAGGCGGCCAACATTGTGAGTCGGGGCGACCCCCTGGCGGGGCAGCACCCCTGCTCCCCGCCAAGCCTCGAAGTCTCAGCTTCAGCAAGCGGGGGGAGTTATGCTCCCTTTGGGGTCACCCAGTGGATGGGGTAGCCCCCTGAACTGCCCCTCCGCCCCATCTCTGCCTCCCCAATAGACGGTGAAGCGTCCCCGGAAAATCCAGCTGCCCTCCACCAAGGCCAGTCCCTCCCAGGACTCGGACGAGGCCGACCGTGGGAGGGGCTATGATGGGGACACGTCCAGCGGCTCCAGCCGCTCCTGGGGCGAGCGATCCCGCCGGCCACGGGCCGGTCGCCGGAGCCGGGCCGGCAGCCACGGGCGCAGGAGCCCGGGCGGTGGGTCCGAGGCCAACGGGCTGGCCCTGGTGTCCGGCTATAAGCGGCTGCCGCGCCAGGACGTGCAGATGAAGCCCATGAAGTCTGTGCTGGTGCGGAGGACAGAGAGCGAAGGTAAGTCACCTGCTGGACATGCTGCCTGCGGGGGCTTGTGTCCCCGAAGGGACAAGGTCCCCGACCTCTGGCCCCTTAGGGTGTATGTGGTTGGTAGCGTAGCACCTCCTCATTCCTGGGGCCTGGGTCTCTACCTTCCAGGGGAAAAGGATTTTGCAGATGGATTAAATTAAGGCCCCCCCGAGGTGGGGGAGGATCCTGGATCCCCGAGGACGGGCCAGCGTCCTCTGGAGGGTCCTTGTAGAGGGAGGAGGAGGGTCTGAGGTGGAGACGGGAGCACCTGCCCGGCTGTGAGGTCAGAGGACGCGCCCAAGGCCGGGTGTGGAGCCTCGAGGCTGTGCAGGCAGGAGACCGCTGGCGCCTGAGAGGAGCGGCCGCCTCACTGGGCTTAGCTGTGAGGGCCCCGCTGGAGTCCTAGGCTCCGGGGCCAGAGGTGACAGGTTCTGTTTTTTTGTTTTTTTTTAAAGATTTATTTATTTTTGCATACAGAACTGGGGTACAGGCCAGAGGCTCAGGGGCAGTGAGAGGCTTCACCAGAGACAGAGTGGGGAGCAGAACAGGCAGATCGACGAAGTACACTGCTGAGGGGAGCAGCGGGCGGGTCAGGAGAGGTCTGCCACACCATGGGGATCTCCTCTGGGGCAGGCGGGGATCGAACTCACGAGGAAGCGGCTTTAGATTCTCAGTGCTGTGCTTTAGCCCACTGCGCCACCAGGGAGGGCCCAGGTTCTGGTTGTTTTAAAGCCGCTAGACTTGGCCATTTGTTACCACTGCCCTCGGACGCTCCGACGTGGTGACGCTCGAGTGTCACGAGTGGGGTTCTCGTGATGACATCGGCAGGGCTGTCACCCCTTAGCCCGGCCCAAGTCCGTGGCAGCGCGGTGACCGAGGAGTTCTGGTCACGATGTGACACATGGGACATCTGCCTCCACACTGGCGTTTGAACACAAGTCCCGACCCGAAAGCTGACACGATGCCATCAAGGATGCGGGGTGCGGCTTGAAGCCCTGGGGTGATGTGGTCGGGGTGTCGGAAGAGGAGAGCTTCTCCGCTCCTTCTCGGCCCACTGCTGGCCGCCGCAGTGACCTCCAAGTCCCTGCGGCGATGGGTGTCAGCGTGGCCCTGCGAGCCTGGGGCGGTGGGGCGCGGCCAGGGGCTGGGCCCAGGGTGTGAGCCAGGCTGGAGGCCGGCTCTGGGCCCGCGTCAGTTCCCCTCCTCCCCCACAGAGTTCGGGGTCAAACTGGGTAGTCAGATCTTCATCAAGCACATCACGGACTCGGGCCTGGCTGCCCAGCACCGCGGGCTGCGGGAAGGAGACCTCATCCTACAGGTGCGTCTGGCCACCTGCCTTCTGCATTGCTGTTTCCCAAAGGTTGGGGGTGCGTGTGGGGTCCCCCACCTGCTGCTAGCCCACTGCCAAACGTCCTCAGGAGCACGTGGTGAATGTCACAGCTGATCCCCGGACCCACCTGTGGTGGCCGGACGCTGATGTCGAGACTGGGCTTAGTGCTAGAAAGAGCCCAGCTGGGCTCTTTCTAGACGCTTCCCTCGGAAATCTGCTTCCAGTGATTCTTAGTGTTTGATTTCCAAATCGCTTTCAGTTGATTGTTTCTCAAGTCTCCTGGTGAGCTGAGGATGCTTTTCAGGGAAATGGGCAGCTGGCGTGAATGGGGGGACATGAAGTCCTGCCCAGGAACTGTGACTGTCCCTCCCCACACTTTAGTATGTCCGAAGTTTGTTTCTCGTGGCTTTCAATATCCACCTCCTCCCCCGGTTAGTCATTCCTACTATTTACTCCCAGAGTCAACACGTTTCTACTGTTCCCGCAGAGTCCACCCTCCCCACCCCACCCAGATCTCGGGGTGAAACCCCGGCGCCATCCCCACTCACAGCGGAAACCCGCTTCCGTCCTCCGGCCGGAGCACCCCCAAGACTGTGCTTCCAGCCCCCCAGCAAACAATCCGTGTCCCCCTCATCGACTCACTTCTCTCTCCCGACCTGGCCCTTAGATCAACGGGGTGTCCAGTGAGAATATGTCGCTGAGCGACACGCGGCGACTGATCGAGAAGTCGGAGGGGAGGCTGACCCTGCTGGTGCTCAGAGACCAGGGGCAGTTCCTGGTGAACATCCCGCCTGCAGTCAGCGACAGCGACAGCTCCCTGCTGGAGGGTGAGGGGCCAGGAGAAGGGCCCTGGGGCACTGCGTGGAGGGGCCAGGGAGTCCTGGCTGGCCGGGCAGGGCCAGCGGGAATCAGCCCTGGCCACTCGGGGCTCAGAGAGGGCCAGGAACTTGGCCGAGGCCACAGCAAGTCAGGGCGGGAGACCCCTGCTGGGCCTGGCTCTGGTCTGCGTGGGGAGGGCACGGGACTGGGGTCTGGACGGCGAGACCGTGCTGATGAGACGTCCCTTCCCCACAGATATATCCGAGCTCGGCTCGGAGCTGTCTCAGGCGCCGCCGTCCCACGTTCCTCCCCCACCCCACCACGGGCGGCGGAGTCCGGATTCCAGCCGCGCCGATTCCCCCACGTATGTACCCCAGCGGGACAGAATAGCAGCGCAAGAGGGGAGCAGCGAGGGCGGCCTGGAGGCTTCAGTCCTCGCGGGCTGCCGGGAAGGGCTTCCTCTCTCCACACTCAGTTCTTTATGCCCGCAGCATGGTTCGTAAGAACGGAGACTCCTATCTGGACTGGCTTAAAGCAGGAGGAAGTGAATTTTGCAGCGTACCCTAGAAGACTTGGGGTGCATTAGCCCTTGGACTCGGCAAGGCCCCCCTTCAGGGGTTTCCCTTGGGGACAAAATAACCATCCGTGTGTACAGGTCCGGTGCTGGCTGTCCACTCTGATGATGTCCATAAATACCAACAACTGGCAACTACTTTGCATTAGTGCTCCATGGCTGCTGGAGCAATTTGTCACTAACTGGGTCACTTCCCCAGGCACATCGTCCCCCAGTGTGGAGACCCCCAAGTCAGGGTCCCGGCAGGACCCCACTCCCTCTGAAGGAAGGCTCAGAGGTCGTGTTCCTGGCCTCTCTCCTAGCTTCCAGCACTTTCTGGCTCACAGCCATCTCCCTGTGTGTCTCCCCTCTGCATGTGTCTCCCTGTGTGCCATATTTTTCTGTTCTGTGAGGACACCAGTCATACTGGATCCCGGTCTCACCCGACTCCACGATGACCTCAGCTTACTAATTACCTCAGTTTAACTAATGACCCTATCTCCAAATACTGTCACACTCGTTAGGACTTCAAATTTGAGAGGCACTCAGTGAAATCCCTAACTGGCCACGTTTACGGGGGGGGGGGTCCCATTGGGTTCTACCATGTCACCTGGCAGCTGTGCAGATTGGGTTTGTGTCGTTGCATTGGATGACACTTGTACAACCACAAAATCGCCTAGTGATTCAATCTGTCGTTAAGCAACACAGGCTTGCATTGCATGAGCCTCACAGACCAGCCCGGTTCAGTGAGGAAGGGGTGTGTCCAGCAGGCCTTGACTCCCAGGAGGCAGGGCGTCACTGGGGACCTCTGGCAACTAGACCAGGGCCCACCCCAAAACCCCAACTTTTATTCCATTAGTGCCTCTTTAGGATGCTTACTGGTAATGACAGAAGGAGAAAGACCACACATGTGTGCTTAGCTCACAGTGAATGCTCTCTAGATGAGCATCTCTTTAGTACAGTTACTGTCGTAAAGGTTTTGCTTGAGAATACGAGACAGCCATGAAAAAGATCGCCAGGCACGTGGAGGGTCATGTGCTGCTTAACAGAAGATGTTCTGAGAAATACAGTGTTAGGTGATTGTGTTTTTCTTTTAAAAGATTTATTATTTATGCTTACAGAACTGGGGTTCAGGCCAGAGGTGTGGGGGGTAGGAGGATTCACCAGAGACAGAGTGGGGAACAGAAGAGGCCGATTGACAAAGTACACTGCTGAGGGGAGCAGCAGGCGGGTCAGGAGAGGTCTGCCACGCCACGTGGGTCAGCTCCCTGGCCGGGGATTGAACTCGTGCTGCAGTGGCTTCGGAGAGCTTCATAATGCGGAGCTTTAACCCATTGCGCCACCAGAGGGAAGCCAGGTGATTGTGTTTTTTAACGACATAAGCCTAGATGGTACAATTTACTTCATACCCAGGCTTTTTGGCAGCTACTACGGCCATTGTCAGCCTTGTGATCTGTCCATTGACTGGACAATCGTTAAGCTACATGACTGTTCCCCAACACGTGCTTATTCAAAAGCACCTGGAAGACAATTCATCCATGCCAACAGCCTGCTGGTTTGCAGATGACTTTCTTCGTTATTTTAATGCTGTGTTAACTTGGACTGCTGAAACAAAATACATAGATGGGGTTGCTAAAACCACGGGCATTTATTTATCATGGTTCTGACCGGAAGCTTGTGGCCTGGGTGCCAGCAGGGCGGGTCCTGAGATCTCACTGTCCGGCTCGCAAAGGGCTGTCACCTGCTGTGTCCTCACTTCTTCCTTTTCTCATCAGGACTTCAGGGCGGGGGACATCACCCTCATCACCTCATTTCATCTAACCCTAATCGCCTCCCCAAGACCCCACCTCCTAATATCTGAGTGGGAGTTACAAGTTCAGCACATGAATTTGGGGGGAGATGTAACATTTAGGCCACAGCTTCCTCTGTGACTTCTTGCCAACAGGCATGGCATTTGTCACAGACTCAGCTCATTTTTGGGCGAAGCCTGACTAAGGTCCTGACGTAGCCATTCCCAGGATTCAGAAGGGGACGCGGAGTCTCAGGGGGGGAGGACACCCCTAGGTACACAGCTACCGAGGGGTAGGGCCAGGCTATGAAACTTTAATGCAGATAACATAAATTCTTCTAAAAATCGCCCCTCAACATCCACCCTCACCTCACCCCAAGTCCGTTTCCCACCAGGGAGAGGCCCCAGCGTCGGATGGAGAGCCCAGTGGATTCCAGAACCGTCTCAGAACCAGGTGAGGAGGTGGGGCTGTCACTCTGAGCATCCCTCCTCTGAATTTCTGATCCCGGCCAGCAAGGCTGTGGCAGACAGGGTCGGAGAGGTTGGCACAGGGCTCTGCATAGGGCCAGCTCCCTGGGAAGGTGTACGGGCTGGTGATGGCATCACACAGGGCAGGAACACCCTGTGCAAAGGTTTGGGGGCTGAACCAAGCCGGTGTACTTGGGTAAGAGACTGGCTGTTCCCTTTCAGACTCTTCCAGGCAAAGCAGTTATGACATCTACCGGGTACCCAGCGGTCAGAGCATAGAGGATCGTGGGTAAGACAAGAACAAGCCCTGACCTGGGAACCCCCACATCCTGGGTCTATCTCCCTTGTCACCATAATCTTGCTTTTCTTAAGCAGAACCAGCATGTGTGGGTGTTTGGGGGAGGGGCTGAGCCCGGGGGGGGCTCTCCCAGCATGCCCCCACCCTGCGCCCTCTAGCCTGACTGCCTCCACCTCCTCTTGCAGGTACAGCCCCGACTCACGGGTGGTCCGTTTCTCCAAGGGCGTGAACATTGGCCTGAGGCTGGCTGGGGGCAACGATGTGGGCATCTTCGTGTCAGGAGTACAGGCGGGTAGCCCGGCCGACGGGCAGGGCATCCAGGAAGGAGATCAGATTCTGCAGGTGACCGGGAGCAGTGACCAGGAGCAGCTGGCCGGCCCCGTGGGCAGTGGGCACACTGGCATGCCGGTGCCCCCCGACTCTGCTGCTGGGTGTCCTCCTGTAGGTCCACCCTGGGGTCTCCCGAGACCCCAGTGGACACGCACTTTGTCTCCCTGTTGGCGGCTCATGTCCTCCTGGTCTACGTCCAGATCGTGGCCTTGTCCAGGTCCCTGTGTTGCCACCAGCGTCACAGCTCCCTCGCCCTTGTCAGCCTTTGTTGCTATGCTGACCTTGTCTTGACCTTGTCTTGGCCGCCGTGTCTACACCGGCGGCCTCCGGCCACCAGGTCAGTCCCGCGGGACGTTCGCAGTCGCCTCGCCTGTCCCGTCTCACCCGTGCCGACCCCTGTCCCTTCTGCAAGTGTTTCCACCAGGTCCTGTTCCCCCATCCTCCTCACGACCAGCCAGCACCCCGAGTCATGAGCCCGTTTTCTGCATCATGACCTTTGCGGCTGGTGGAAACCACGCGGGTCTGACGCTTATCATATTCTGTGGGTGACAAGACCACGTGGACCCCGTTCCCAGGCCAGGACACTGGCAGCCCCCCCGTGGGCTGATCACAGCTCTGGTGCCATGTCCTACATCAAAGTCTTCATGGGTGGCTGCAAGGTGATCCCCATTGGGGGGACATGTCTGTCCCCCCAATCTCCAGAGCCCTGTCCAGGAGCTCTGGAAGCAGCTGGAGGGTGAGGTGGGGTCTGGGGGTGCCCAGAGCCTTGTCCCACCCCTGCCCCCGACCCGCAGGTGAATGACGTGCCGTTCCGGAACCTGACCCGGGAGGAGGCCGTGCAGTTTCTTCTGGGGTTGCCGCCCGGCGAGGAGGTGGAACTGCTGACACAGAGGAAGCAAGACAGTGAGTGGCCGAGTGGGCGTGTTCCCCGTTTGCAGCCCAGGGCTGGGGGAGGACGCCGCGCCCGCCCGGGGCCAGCCCTGGGCAGCAGCCCAGGTGAATGACGCAGCCCGCCCGGTCCACAGTCTTCCGGAAAATGGTGCAGTCCCGCGTGGGCGACTCCTTCTACATCCGCACGCACTTCGAGCTGGAGCCCAGCCCCCCGTCCGGCCTGGGCTTCACCCGCGGAGACGTCTTCCACGTCCTGGACACGCTGTACCCCGGCCAGGGGCAGAGCCGCGCCCACGGAGGCCACTGGCTGGCAGTGCGCATGGGTCGGGACCTCCGGGAGCAGGAGCGGGGCGTCATCCCCAACCAGAGCAGGTGGGGCGCCCCCTGCCGGGCCTGCGGGGGGCCGTGGGGTCTTTTCCATCCCGGGGGACCAGGAGGGCCCGGACAGGGCAGCTGGTGCCAGTTACCGCTTAGTGGCTTCCACCGCACACACTGATGTCTCATGTTCTGAAGGCTTAAAGTCGGGGTGCAGTCGGGCTGGCCTCCAAGGCTCCAGGGGGACTCTCTGGCAGGCTCAAACTTCTAGCAGCCACATCCTGGGCAGGGCCCTTCCTCCAGCCCCACAGCCAGCAGCCGTGCCTCTTCCCTCTCTCTGCCTCACGCCTCCTCCTTCCTCTCGAAGTGTTAGGCAGGCGGAGAGGCACCCCGGCATCCCCAAACCTGCCTGCTCTAAATAGGTTCTGCCATGCACCACATAAAGACAAGCTTAAGCTTAGTGGGTAAGACCTTCAATAGAAAATAACTTTACACAATTAGTGTGCTATAAAGAGATGAGAAAGAATATAGCTGAAACAGCTTCAGATTAAACCACCGAAGTTCCCCACCCCCTGGTGGGTAACCGCCCAGACAAACGGGGTTGCCCCAGTGCAGGCCCAAACACTGGGCCTAAGGCTGAGGCACCTCCTGGTGGGGACCACAGGGCGAGGCAGAAGGGCCAGGCAGTCTGGAAGGGAAGGAGCAGGCCCGCCGGATAAAGGCTGCTGTGGCGGCTTCCCGGGGTCTCCGAGTGTCTCTCCACTCCCCAAGTTCCTGCCACAGGTCCAAAGGGAGAAGCACGTGAGGCTCCCTGGGCCTCCTCCAGGTCCTTCAGCCCTGCCTGCCTCTCCCGTCCTCTCCAGCTTCCCCTTCACCCTGGAGAGGACGCAGGGGGCCTGGGACCTCCCCTTCCCCTGGGACCACCCTCGCCAGGACACTGGGCCCTGGAAATCCAGGACCCGGCCTCATTTTAGGGTCCTTAGCTGAACCCCACCAGCACAGATCCCTTCCCACATGAGGTGAAGCCCCCACAGGCCCCATGACAGGGACGGGGACCTCTGTGGCCGGCGCTGACCTCAGAGCTCACAGCCCCTTCCTCCCCAGGGCGGAGCAGCTGGCCAGTCTGGAAGCTGCCCAGCGAGCTGTGGGGCCCGCGCCCGGGGCCTCCGTGGGCTCCAGTACCAGGGCCGAGTTCTGGCGGCTGCGCGGTCTTCGCCGGGGAGCCAAGAAGACCACCCACCGGAGCCGCGAGGACCTGTCAGCCCTGACCAGACAGGGTCACTACCCTCCTTACGAGCGTGTGGTGCTGCGAGAAGGTGGGGTCCGGGCCGGGGGCTTCGGGGTGGCCTCGGCGTGGGGATACAGTTGCACATCGGTCAGCACGTTTCCGTCAACAACACCTCGGTTTGGGTGATGATGTGCTGACATCTGCACAGCACGGAATCACCCCAGAATGCGCTTCCCAGAGCTCGGTCTCCTTAAGTGACGCGCGACTGTGTTCGCCCACACCCCCCTTCACACCACCATCTCTACCTCGCTTTCCACCCAAAATACCCTCTTGGTTATTTCAGAACTCCGAAGGAGACAGAAAGGGATTTCATTCCCGAAACATGAATTCCTAGTTCCAGTAGGAATGTAAAGTGAGCACATACATAATCTGAAAGAGAAACAGTTGAAAAGAATTTTAAGATGCTATGCTCAAAGTATTACTTCAGTGGATAATCCATATACGATGATTGGATTTTTAAAAAAAATGTACTAACACACACAAGAACTAGGGTACAGGCCAGAGGTCTGCGGGGGAGAGAGGATTCCCCAGAGGCAGAGTGGGGAGCAGAACAGGCCGACTGACTGAGGTGCACTGCTGAGGGGAGCAGCGGGGAGACAGGAGAGGTCTGCTGCACCCTGGGGTCACTCCCTGGCCGGGGATCGAACTTGTGCTGCAGGGGCTGCGGACGGCTTCACAGTGCTGCGCTTTAACAAAATTATTGGATTTTTTACTTTCCTTTTGTGCGAAGCCTTCAGTCCCTGGGGTGTCGTGGTGCTGTGCCATCTTGTCTCAGACATGTCACACGTGTCCAGCGGCTGCTGCCCCGGGAGGGGGCGGGGCAGGGCGAAAGGCGTTAATGCATTTAGTGGTGCTGCTGTCTGTGGGTTGTCAGCTTGAGGTAAAGTTATGTCTAAAAATACATGCACCGTGTAAACAGGTCTTTAAATCACAATGTGCCTGTAAATGTTCATAGCAGAATTATTCACAGCAGCCAAAAGGTGGGAGCAGCTCAGATGCCCCTCTGTGAATAAATAGATTCAGACAGTGCGTCCACATCACTGGCCGTGTAAGGGGGCAGCTGTGCCACCCACGACCGCGGGGCGGGCTCTGAACACACAGCACGCAGCGGGAGAAGCCAGGCACTCGAGGCCACGGGTGAGAAACGCCCAGAACAGGCCCAGCCGCAGACAGAGTGGGCGCAAGGTGTCAGGGGAGGGGGTCTGTGTGCGTGCTGATGGGGACAGGACTTCTGTTTGGGGCGATAGAACGTTCTAGAACTAGATGGAGGTAGTTGCACTACGTTGTGAATTGTGCACTGACATGTGTACAGCCTCCAGGTTAATAGATGTTTAAACTAGTTTTTTTTTTTAATTTTTTTTTAAAGATTTATTTATTTGTGCATACAGAACTGGGGTACAGGCCAGAGGCTCAGGGGCGGTGAGAGGCTTCACCAGAGACAGAGTGGGGAGCAGAACAGGCAGATGGATGAAGTACACTGCTGAGGGGAGCAGCGGGCGGGTCAGGAGAGGTCTGCCGCGCCCTGTGGTCACCTCCGGGGCAGGCGGGGATAGAACTCATGCGGAAGTGGTGTCGGCTTCTTAGTGCTGTGCTGTAACCCGCTGCGCCACCAGGGAGGGCCTAAACTAGTTTTAAAATTAATTAAAGAACAAAAGCACACGTGCACAGAGCCCAGGAGACTTCCCTACCTGCGGACCAAGGGGGAAGCCACTTCCTCCAGGTTCGGGAGGGAGAGATGAGGCAGGTGCCACGGCCTCCGGCCTCCGGGGAGCAGGACTTAGACACAGGCGCGGGGGCCTTGCGGCACCAGGACTTGGAAACAGCTGACAGCTGCCCCGCTGCCGCTCGACCCTCAGGCACAGACTTCAGGGGGGAAAGGCCGCAGACGTACAGGTTGCCCTTGCCGAAGGGGCTCGCAAGTCTGCACGTTTCGGGCTTCCAGAGCAAGGAGAGGCGAGCAGAGGCCGGGCCGCTCCCTCGCGTCCACCCAGAGGCCTCTTTGTTTCCTCAGAGGCAAAGTGGTGAATCCGGTAGATGGGAGCCTCACACTCTTCCTGCAGGGGGCTGGTTCCAGAGAGGAAGGTTTCAGGCTTTCTGTGCCACACGGTTCCTTTTTTTTTCCCGAATTAAAATAGCCTCGGCTCCTGGCATCATAGCGCCCGCAGGTTCTAGCGCCAGCAAGCCCGGCCGGTTCTCTGTGGACTTGGGCAGACGGGTCTGGACAGTCCTGGGGCCCAGGCTCCTGCGAGAGGCTGCGCAAGCAGCGTGGGCCAGCCCGCAGGCTGGCAGGCGGGGGGTGGGCAGGAGGCTGCTGCAGCCAAGCCCCCCCTTTCCCCGGCCCCCGGCCCAGCCTGCTCAGCGCACAGCGGTTCTCACTCTTCCTCTTCCGACTCTGGCCCTCCTGGGGCCTCTGCCTCGCCGCGGTGGCCGGCTCATCCTCTTGCGGCCGCTGCGTGTAGCCGCTCTTGTCTCTGAGCGACGCCGCCCTTACACGCAGCCCCCAGGCCCAGGTGCGCCCACTCCGAGGCCCACACCACGTCCAGGTGTCCACCCTCAGGCATGCGCATCCGGCGCCCTCACTCCCTCCCGGGCGCTTGCTGGGTCAAGGCCACAGGTGATGGCCGCGGAGGCCAGCGGCGTAAACGCCAGGCCACCGTCATTTGCCCTACACAGGTGTAGAGCCTCACACATCGGCACCTGTACCCCCAGCAGGGTCCTGCTACGCATCACCTGCAGTGACGCCTTCTCCCTGGGCCTCCAGCCCCTTCCCCTTCCCTCTGGCAACCAGTTTCATTTAGTTTGCTCACTTGCTTTGCTTCTTTATCTACACACGCGAATGGAACCACACCATGTGCTTCTCCCTCAGACTTAGTCACGAAGCACAAGGCCCTCTGGTTCCAGCCGAGTTGTTGCAAATTGGCAGGACCCCAGCCCTGAGCAGTGTTCCGCATATAAGTCTTGTTTATCCACTCACCCTCCAAGCCCTGCCTCAGGGGTCTGTAGCTCTTGGCTGTGCTGACTGTGCTGTGATGGTCCTGGGGTGCAGAGACTCTTCGAATGAGTGCTTTTGTTTTCCCTGGATTGGTACTGAGAAGTGGGACGAGCTGGAGCACATGGTATTTCTCTTCTTAATATTTTGAGGCATCTCCTCAAAATATTTGAAATATTTGAAATCATCGGCTGCACCAATGATTTCTTTTGAAGCCACTCAGTCTGCTCACAGACAGATGGAAGTATAGAGACAAACGGATGTGACTGCACCTAATAAAGACAGGTCACGCTGGGTGTGACGGGGGGGACATTGCTTGCTGACCGCACGCCAGCTCGGTTTAGCTGCCAGACCCAGGGGTGGCCGCACACGCAAGAGGCTTGTTTCAAGTATGTGCAGTATAGGCAGTTAAGCGTGCTCTGGCTTCTTCCGTTTCAGTGACCTGGTTCCCCCAGTTTTTTCTTTTCGCTGTGCCCCACTCCCTGGATTCCTTCTACTTTTTTGTCTTTCTGCCTTACTGGGATGGCACACCCATACCCACATTCCAGCTGGGGGGGAGGAAGGGAAGGTGAGGCGGGCCCACTCCTTTTCTTGAAGCTACAACCCCAAAGCAGACTTTGATTCTGCTTACATCTCATTTGTCAAGCTTAGTCACATGGCCTCCTGCAGCCGCAAGGAAGGCTGGGAGTTGTAGTCTTCCGCCAGGCAGCCATGGGCCTCGATGAACATACAGCATCGAGGATGGAGGCGCGTTGGTGCAGGGGGTTAGCCGTGGTTGCCACGACGGGATCCTAACGTTGGTCACTGTCTCTCTGACCCTCAGCCAGCTTCAAGCGACCAGTGGTGATCCTGGGCCCCGTGGCAGACATTGCTATGCAGAAATTGACTGCTGAGATGCCCGACCAATTTGAAATTGCAGGTGAGAAGCCAGGTCTGGTAGCTAACTTAGGGCTACATGCCTGCCTGATGACGGGGCTGTTAATGATGCTGTTTGGAGGTAAGAGAACAGTCATGACACAGGGAGGCATAGAGCCAGCACCCCCAAGGCCCAAATCAGACATCCTCAGATGACTTTGGTGCTCTGTCTGGACAGAATCTTCGAACCCTTAACTCAGGTCATCGGCCCATGTCAACTGAGCCGCCATGCCACCTGTTCCTTTGAGAGAGTTTTATTCAGCTATGGCCACAGCATCAGACAAAATACACAGGGCTGGGCCTCCCTGGTGGTGCTGGGGTTAAAATCTCAGCGCTATCAAGCTATCGCCAGCCACAGTGGCTTGAGTGTGATCCCACAGGGCGCAGCAGACCTCTCCTGTCTCCCCGCTGCTCCCCTCAGCAGTGGATTTCAGTGGACTGGCTTATTCTGCACCCTACCCTGTCTCTGGTGAATCCTCTCACCCCCCACATCTTGGCCTACCCTCCCCCAATTCTTGAGGTCCCTTGAGGAGGCCCAAAATTAACAACTTCAAAACAAACTTGAGCTCAGTTCCCCATCCACTGGGTGGGCCGATGAGAGCTGCCCTTCCCAGGACGGGGTGGGCGCTGGGCCAGGCAGGAAACCAGGTACAGCTGCTCGGGTTGCGCCCTAAGGCGATGGGGAGCATGGTGGGTCGTGGGGAGGGGACCGCAGACACGAAGGCCCCCCGCAGCTGCAGCTACTCTTCCCTCCCCAGAGAGCACGATGCGCACCGACAGCCCCCCCAGGGTCATCAAACTGGACACGGTGCGGGTGATTGCAGAGAAGGTAAGCCGCTCCCTGGGGTCCCGCTTCCTGATGAGGGGTCCCCTGGTATTCAGCCTGCCCTCCCCACGTCCCACAGTGTGGCTGGAGCCCGTGAGGAGGCAGTGTAGGGTGGGGGTTTGAGCTGCAGCTCTGGCTGAGGAGGAGGGGCCGCATGCCCAGGGGTCACACAGCCCTAGGAACAGCAGGTTCAGACTGGGGCCCTGGGGCTCCAGACACTGGCCGGGCCCTCGCCAACTGCCACCCCCATGCTGGCCTGGTCAGGAGGGGCTGGGGCCCTCTGACCTCAGACTCGGCCTCTGCTCCCGGCCCTCCACCTGACCCACTGCCTGTCTCTCTCCTCCTCCTCCACCACCGCCCGGGGCGGCCAGGACAAGCACGCTCTGCTGGACGTGACGCCCTCGGCAATCGAGCGCCTCAACTATGTGCAGTACTACCCCATTGTGGTCTTCTGCGCCCCCGAGAGCCGTGCGGCCCTCAAGGCGCTGCGCCAGTGGCTGGCGCCCGCCTCCCGCCGCAGCACTCGCCGCCTGTATGCCCAAGCCCAGAAGCTGCAGAAGTACAGTGACCATCTCTTCACAGGTGGGTGGGAACGGGGGTCCCAGGGCAGGGGGGGGGGGGCGTGCGGGGTTGGGGCCTGGCCTGGGTCCTGGACTGTGCCGATGTCCCCTCCCCACAGCCACCATCCTCCTGCACGGCACCAGCAACAGTTGGTACCAGGAGCTCAAGGACGTCATCCGTGAGCAGCAGACACGGCCCATCTGGACAGCCGAAGACCAGGTGCCGGGGCGGGTTGTCCGGAGGCCAAGGTCTGACGTGGGGGTGCGGTCTTGGCCTGGTAGCTGGGGTGGGGTGGGGCTGGGGATTTGGCTTGGAGACCGAGTTCTCCTGGGACTGGAGTCAAGGCTCAGGGCTCTGCTCAGATTTGGGGGTTCGGCCTTGAGTCGAGCAATGGTCAACTCGTCCCTGATTTAAGATCGAAGATCAGGGTCTTTGCCTAGTTTGAAACTGGTTGTCAGGGATTTGGTCTGAGGCAGCATGGGTCTGGGGCTTGGGGGTCCCTGTTCAGCCAGACCATGCCCACCCACAGCTGGACAACTCCTCGGAGGACAACCTGGACCTCCCTCACCACGGCCTGGCAGACAGCTCCGCAGACCTGAGCTGTGACAGCCGGGTCAACAGTGACTACGAGACAGACGGGGAGGGCGGCGTCTACACGGACGGGGAGGCCTACACGGATGGCGAGGCCTACACGGACGGCGAGGGTGGACCCCACACGGACATGGACGAGGAGCCTTCCACGCCGGCCCTGGCCAGGTCCTCGGAGCCCGTGCTGGCAGACGAGCACCACAGCCTCCCGGCTCACGGGAGGGCCTCGGGGCAGCGCGTGGCCCAGGTGAGCAGGGCGCGGCCACGGCGCCACGCGGTTCTGGGGTGGACGGGGCGCTGTCCACACAGAAACTCCTCTGATAAGACCAGACGCTCGACCCACACCTGGAGCATTTCAACCCCTGAATCACTGAGAGCACCTGTTTTTTTGTTTTAATTTTATAAGTTTATTTTTACATATTTTTGTGCATTTTCCCATCTCAGTTGCAGTCCCCTTGGGGAAAGCACCTGTTTTAAACTATGCACAGGTCTCCTTCTCTAGGACTCGGTGCCACAGTCTCATGCCACAGTGCCAAGTCCCGGCACCTCGTAGCTGGGAATTTAAAAAGTTCACTTGGCATTTATCCACTGTGGAGCTGTTTCAGCTCCTGTGGTGCCTTTTTGTGACTCCTTAAGTCACCCCTTCTTTGAGATGCTCTCTAGGTAAATACAAAGCTGTATGAATCTGCAACACCCGCGGCTGGAAGTGCCCCAGTGCTGTGCTGCGGCCTGCCCACCTGCTCCCCGGGCTGGATGTGTGAGCGCCCGACACCAGCCTGCTGAGGGACTTTACACACGGGAAACCCAATCTCCTCTTTGCTGACAGGCTGAGCGAGCTCGGCCACGGCTTTCCTCATCCCGGCTTTCTTATTCACTGTCAGGGATGTGGGGCCTCCCTGGTGGTGCAGGGATTGAAGCTCACCACTGTGGCCTGAGTTCCATCCTCGGCCAGGAAGTGACCACAGGGCGCGGCGGACCTCTCCTGTCTGCCCGCTGCTCCCCTCAGCAGTGTACTTCATCCATTTGCCTGTTCTGCTCCCTTCTGTCTCTGGTGCATCCACTCACCCCTGCACCTCTGGCCTGCACCCCAGCTTATGTATGTGCATAAATAAACTGAGTCTTAAACTAAGCTGCATCGGGGGTGCTGGCGAGACTGTGCCAGCACTGCCAGGCAGAGGTGGAGAGGCAGGTGGAAGTGGTTAGTCACGTCGACTTCTCATGAGACTTTGGAAGTGTTAAGCTCCTTTCTTCCTCTCCAGGATGGCCACCAACCCCAGGGTCAGCGGCGGCAGGACAGCATGCGGTAAGAACCCCTGTACTCCGGATGGGGCCCCTCGACCCTTGCCTGGGGAGTCAGGCCCTGAGAGCCAGCGTACGCCTTCACGGTGCTGCCCACTACAAGCCTCTGTAGTCAGGGGCACAGGAGCAGGAATCCTCTTCTTGAGAGGGCTGGGAAGGCTTCCTGAAGGGCGGGGGCACTGGCGCTGGGGCTTTGAAGGATGTGTATGAGTTTGTCAATAAGGCTCAAGCCCCAAGGCCCATCTTGCTCATGTCTGCCACAGCCACTCCCCCAGCCTGTTAGGGTAAGGTCACGCCTCCCTCAGCTGCAGCCTCGAGCCTATTTCCTGCTCCCTAGGACATACGAGCGGGAAGCGCTGAAGAAAAAGTTTACACGAGCCCGAGATGTGGAGTCCTCTGATGAAGACGGCTACGACTGGGGCCCAGCCACTGACCTGTAAGCCCTCCCAGGTGGCCAGTGGGGCAGCTGGCCAGTCTTCCCTGCAGCTGGATCTTGGCTTCCCATTCAGAACTTGGAAGCCTGCCTCCTTGGACCTGGTCTCTAATAAGCAGAGTATTTTCACAGCATTGGCTCCTAATGGCTCTCAGGAAGGTCAGGGGCCAAGAGTCAGGCCCCATCTTCCTCTCTTGACCTTAAAGACCTTGAACAGAGACCTTGCCCATTTAATAAACATTTAATTTTTTTTTACATCAAAAAATAATATAAAGCCATGAGTGCTTTGGGGCCCTGGCCAGCCCCGGAGGGCCGGAGGGGGCTAAGGCACAGTGGTGGGGTCACTGGTAGCTGCAACTGGTCACAGGTACACCGGCTGCTCCTGGCCTGTGAGCAGCCGGTAGGTGGCGGCCGGCATTGTCTTGATGTGGACCTGCGGGGAGAGGAGCGGGCTGGGGGCGAGCCCGGCTGACAGGCACCCCGAGCCCACCTGTGCCCCACGCACCTCGAGGTGGGCCTCGGTGAGCAGCTCGATGATGCGGGCGTGCGGCGTGGCCACCACGCTGTGCCCGTTGATCTCGATGATGCGGTGCCCCACCCGGACGCCCCCGCGCTCCGCGATGCCGCCCCGCAGCAGGCTGCAGATCTGGGGGGGACAGCAGGGCGGGCCTCAGGGGCTGTGTGCCGGCTGCCGGCCCGCCCCACCCAGCCCCGACGGGGCCTCACGATGCCATCCTCCACGCAGAAGCCCAGCTGCTCGCGGACGTGGGGCCGGCGGATGATGGCCGTGGTGACCGGCGGGCAGTGCACAATGCTGAGGGTCACCAGCGTCTGTGACTTCACCTCCTACGGGACAAGGGCGCTGGCCTACCTGGGCCGTGGGGGGCTGCAGAGCCTCTAGGCAAGCTACAGCCCCCCTCTCAGCCCCATTTACACACCCGGAAAATGGAGATTTGGCCTCAGGGCTCCAGACTCTACCAGGCCCCGCCCTTCCTGCCCTAACTCTGAGGCATCACCAAGGGCCCGCACTCCCCTCCCCATCTGACTCCTCAAGGTCAAAGGCAAGTGTGGGCAGTGCCTGTGCGGGAGGCCGGGCTGCAGACGCCCAGTGCTGCGCTGTATGGACGCGTGGGCCTGGCCGCTCCATCTCTGGGCCCCGTTTCCACATCTGCTCAACGGAGGAGACCCAGCACACCTGCTGCCTCACGGCAGGTGCAGAGGCGGCCCCTGCGCTGGACCCTGCCTCCCAGCCCAGCGGGCACAACCTGCACAGGTGCGGTCTGCCCTGGCCAGTTCCCTAGAAGCACGTCAGCAAGAGGGACCTCGTTCCACCTGTCCCTTCTCGTCATGGCCAGGGAAGGGAACTCTGAGGCTCGGGCTTCCTCCCCTGCCTGGCTGTGTGGCGAGGCAGGTCTGCCATCTGGGGGGCCCTCCGCCCCGCCCCCAGGACTCACGCGGACGGCGGCCTGGCAGGCAGCCAGGGACAGCCCCACCAGGCTGGTTCCGTTGATGGCCGTCAGGCGGTCCCCGATGCTCAGGGCACCTGAGCGCTCAGCCGGGCCCCCGTGCTGTAGGTTGGCGATGACGGCGGTGGGCAGCAAGGAGCCCCAGCCTGACTCCACCAGGGCCACGCCCAGGCCTTCGCCACGACGCTTCTCGATGCACACCTGGGAGGGAGATGCAGGGGGCATGAAAGATTGAAAGATGGAGGCGGGGGGCCGGCAGGGCGGGTGGGAGCGCGGTGAGCGGGCTTACCTCCCGGCAGTTCTCGCTGTTGGAGAAGTGGTCCAGGTCGCCGTTGTGCAGATGGCCAGGGCCGGCGGCCCCCTGGCTCTGCCCGGAGCCCACCTGGCTGGGATCAAGGCCATTCTCCCGCAGGAACTGGTGGTAGGCCACGGCGAAGGCCTGGCCGATGGCCCTGGCGATCAGCTGCGCCTGTGGGGTGTGCTCAGAGGTGGTCCCACTAAACCACTGTCTCCCAGGTCCTCAGACACCCTCAGGGCGAGGTCCCATTCAGAATAAGGGGACAGCTGTGGCGCTGCGGTTCCCAGGGAGGAATCCGAGGGCAGAGTGGGTGATGGGAAGGTTTAGGGGTGTCAGTTACCAGACTCCGAGGCTTCCAGGAAGACTCAGAATAGAGGATCAGGGAAGCTGCCGCAGGTGCCAGGAAGGGGCGAGGGCACCAGGTGGCAATAAGACAGGTGGGCTCGGAGGAGCCAGCCCCGTCCCCGCTCTTCCCCTGGACACCGGAGGCCCTACTCACGTCCTCGGAGTGGAAGACATGGCAGATCATCTTGTAGAGCCGGCGGCCTGCGGCCTGGGGTGGGGGCGGGCGGGCCAGCCGCCGCCGGGCCATGAGCACCAGCACACTGCCAATGTCGGCGATGTAGGAGACAGTCTGCAGGGCGTGGTCCATCATGGCCTCCTGGTGGGGGAGACTGGACCTGGGCAAGCTGCAGGGGCCTCACCAGGCCCCGCCCTCTGCCTAGCCCCGGCCCACCCAGGCCCAAGGCAGCTGGGGCCTGTACCTGGGAGTCGGCTGTCAGAACTTTGACTCTTTTGGTGGAGATGAAGAGGTCCACTTCCGTCATGGGCTGGCTCTCCCCGTCGGGGGCCTGTGGGGGTGGGGGTGGGAGGTGGGAGGCCCCCCAAAACCCAGGCTCTGCCCTGCAAGGCTCTGGGTGCCTGGGAGGACCCAGCTGGCAGCCCCATCCCTCCCACTCTCATCAGCCCCAAGAAGCCCGGTGGGTTCAGCCCTGGCTTCACCTTGACACGGTCCATTGCCTCCTGGGCCTGGGTCATGCGTGTGCTGGGGGGTGGGTTCCGCTCAGACACCAGTTGGGTGGAGCCCAAATATTTGGCCCCAAATATGACACCATCTAGGAGGTCTTCGTGGTCACAGGGACCAGGTACTGAGGGAAACAGTGAAGGAGGGTTAGCCCAGGGTGCCCCTGGCCAGGTCACCCGCCTCCTGGACTCTCCCAGGGTCCCGGCTCCCTGAACAGAGACTATGCTATGGCTTAGATCCTGGGCCACACAGTCCCAGGACCATCCCACCGGTGGGCGCCCCAGACCAGCAGCTTGGTCCTCACAGATCTGGCGCTGTCTGCCAGTCTGGAGGTGGCTCGGTCCACAGCTCATGTAGTGCCAGGCAAAAGGGCAGTTTCAAGAGTGTCTGTGAGTTTAGAACCACAGCCAGGTCCTAAGTTTTAGTGCTCAGACTCTGCCGGCTTATTTTTGTCATTCTAGAACAAGAAGGTCCCGTGACATTATGCTCCAGTCAACCCTACTCAATGTTCTGGGATTCCCCCAATCTACAGCCAGTCAGCTCTGTCCACTGTTCCAGAATTCTATTAGCTCTACTCATCAGCTCTACTGGTGCCCGACCATATCAGGGACATCACTGTCTGCATGTCTAAAATTCTCACACTGTCCCAAACCCCAGACGGCCCCGACCTACAATTCCCAAACTCCCTGGTTAAGTCTTAAACTAAGAACTCAGGGGTTCTAGAAAATACTATCATTCCAGAATCACTGACTTTTCCACTACCAACTGATTCTAGAACTTTTAATCACAGTCACAGCAGGTAGAGCTTACTAAGGCTCTAAAACATCCTCAGATAGTTTGCAACCTCAGCTGTATACAGTGGCTTTAAGAATTATTTGAGGGCTCTTCCTGGTGGCACAATGGGTTAAAGCACCGCATTATGAAGCTCTCTGAAGCCACTGCAGCATGAGTTCAATCCCCTGCCAGGGAGTGACCCATAGGGCGTGGCAGACCTCTCCTGACCCGCCTGCTGCTCCCCTCAGCAATGTACTTCGGTGATCTGCCTGTTCTGCTCTGGTGAATCCTCTCACCCACCACAACTCTGTACCCAGTTCTGTAAGCATAAATAAATCTTTTTTAAAAAAGAATGATTTGAACAGATCAGAAACAATGCCACAGAGCCCAGGTTCCATGGCTCTACAAGCCCTTGAGCAACCTAGAACCAAATGACTCTGCCAGCAGTCTAAACATTTTAGCCAGCAGCTACTGCTTTTTGGTTGAGAACGATAGCGCTGGACCACGTTTCCGGAGGTGAATCTAAGCCACAGTCAGCCCTGTCCTCTCCTCTGTGACTTCAGCATTCCAGAAGAAAGCAGTTCCATTCTGGGGCTCCGGTCGGGGCTGCCCCCTGTGGGAGCCCCATGGCACTTGCAATGTAGCTGATCTAGACTGAAAGATGCGGAGTGCAAAAAGCACATGGGATTCTCAAGATTCAATATGAAAAAAGTAAAATAATTATAAAATACTGAAATGTTAGTTAATCTTTTTAGCTGTAGTTTGGAGGAAGGGGGTCTGGAACACGGGTCCGACGGCAGGAGCAGAGAAACCTGCTGGGTGAGAACACAGGGCCTGTCACCCCGAGCTCTGAGCAGAACCTTCTCTCCCCTGGCTGAAGGCGTGAGCTCCCTGGGTCTGCGCCCAGCACCCCCCGCCTGAAGCCTCAGCCGAGGACGAGCTGGTGTGGTGCTGCGACACCTCACCTCGCCTTCCATTTCCTCAAGTGGGGCTCCCGTAGCCTCATTTCTCCTCCTGATGTGGATACGGTCCCGCAGGAGCCGTTCAGTTCCCACTTGCTGTCAACATTTTTGCAGTTACCGTTTTTAAAATCATAAAATCATTTGCAGTCAGTGTTTTGTCTTGATCCAATTTTATCTTTTGCTTTTAAAAATGTGTGTAATTGGAAAACTTAAAAGACCACGTAGAACTCCTATTTCTGTCGTTTAGCTCTGCTTTAGGACTTTCAGCTTATTCTAGAATCAGGTAGCCTTGTCCATGTTCTGGAATACCGTTTTTTGATCTAGCACTGTGGGTAAGTTTTATTTGCTCCATGGTTCTAAAACTCCCTGTGTGAGTGGAACGGGAAGCGCTGTTCTTTATTCTAGCGCACGTGGGCCTGCGCGTCTTTAATCTAGAACCACAGGCATTGCCAAGTCACGGGATTCTCCAGGTGAGTCACAGAACCTTCCTGGAACTATGGCTCTCTCTACAACCGGAGAACTTGCTCTTTGACCCCTAGTAGCAGGCGGTTTGGGGACAGATACTAGAGAGTTGTATGTGGTCAGAAACGGTCCTCCCAAGCCATTAGGGAAGATATGGGTGAAATTTTTCTGCAAAGGGCCAGTCAGTATTTTCATCTTTGTGGGTACCTGTTGCAACTGCTCAACCTGCCACTGGAATGTGAAAGCTGCCACACAAAAACAGCATGTATGCTTGTGACTGTGTTCCAGTAAAACTTTACTTGTGGACACAGATATTTGAATTGTATATCGCTTTCGTGGGTTCAGAAATGTTCTTTTGCTACCCCCTGCTCTAAACTGTCAAGCCTGCCCTAGCAACCCCTAATATAGTCTAAACATTCTCAAGCCTCTCTCTCCTCTTCCAAACCATCTGGAATCTACTTGGAACTGATCTCAGAGGCAATTCTCTAGAAGCCAGAATGACTTCTCCAGAAGCAACTCCTTACTGGCAATCTGCCGATTTGGGGAGCCTTATTCAGGCTGTTCTGAACCCCTAAGTCCCTGGTGCAAGGACGGGCAGGCCACTCACCCTCCTGTAGGGCAGGGTATGAAGCCGGGGTCTCGGGGCTCTGGAAGAAGATAGAAGAGGGGCAGGCCTAAGTCCCTCTGCTAGGCTCCCAGCCACAGAGGAGGCCTGGGGAGGGGAAGGGCGGGCACTACCTTGGCACCAGCGGGTCGCTCTTCAGGAGCAACTAGAGGCACGGTTTCCAGCCAGGGTTCTGGGGAGCTGCTCGAGCTCCTGCTGCCATCCTGTTCAGCACAGGCTCCTTCCTCCCATTCCGGGGGACCAGTATCCGCATCTGCGTCTTCAGGGGGTTGCAACAGGTGAGGAGCAGATTCTGAAGACTGGGAAGAAGGGCACTCTTCGAGGTGCAAAAGGTTCAGCAGATCATCTCGGCCAGCCTCAGTGGACAACAGCCCATGGGCAGTAGACGAGTCCTGAGGGGCCAGGCCGTGGCCAGTGGCAATGTGCAGGGGACAGGGGTGTCCATCTGGGCACAGATCCACCAGATCACCAGGCAAAGCCTCAAACTGTTGCACCAAGTCTTGAATATTTGGCTTGTCAAGTTCCATCTGACTCAGGCTGCTGGGGCCTGCAGGCACTTGGTCGCACTGGCCGGCGGGGGCAAGGTCCTGAGAGTGTGTAAGAGTGTCCCTGGGCTCCCCCACGTCCATGGCTGGGGGCCCTGTGGGGGTCTGGGGGTTCGTCACAAATTCCATACCTGGACCCCAGGTTCATACCGGCATCTGAAAAGACAGTCAAAGGCGAAATTTCCTGGGTGCCAACCTGGTGCCAGTCACACAGGTCACAGAATTTAATACCCACCCAATCCTGTGAGTTCTACTGCAATCTTCACTTTATAGATGAGGAAACTGTGGGGCAGAATGGGCAGTTCCAGGCAGTGGCATCCCGGTTCCAAATCCAGGGGGCGTTCCCCTGAGCTCTTTCCACTCAAAACCTCAAGAAATGCCCTGTATCTGCGGCCCCCCAGACGTCTCCTTACTCCTAAACCCGGTTCACCCCCGCCTAGTTCTTCCAAGTCTTCCTCTCCGGAGACAAGGAACCAGGCTGGAGGCACAACTTGACTGGACAGATCCGTCAAGCACAGGTCCTCCACTTCTGACTCACCATCCACGTTCAAGACTTTAGACCGAGGACTCCGGACGTAGCAGCAGATGTCCAAGAGGCCAGAGCGCTGCCCAGAGAGCTGACCGTAATCTCAGGACCTCCCACGGCACGCAGAAGGTCGCCCCCAGACTCAGACCCGGACCTCAGAAGGCAGTCCGAGATTAACTCGAACCTACAGCCATTAACGCGGGCTCAGACTTCAGACTCCAGACCCCGGGCAGCGGTCCCCGGCCCCGCTCTGCCCCGCCAGGACACTCACTTTCCAAACCGCGGTGAACTCACCCCACGCAAGTCGGGTTGGCCAGGTCAGCCCAGTCCCGGCGCCCGCAAATCCGTAGGAGCGGCGCCCCCCGCCCACCGGGCATGCGCGCGCTTGTGAGGCCTGCTGGGAAATGTAGTTCTCCCAGCCGGTCGCGCCGCGCGGGGGCGCTGCAGGTCGCAACCGCGAATGGAAGCCGGGTCTCCCAGAATAGGACTCCGGGCTGGCTTCCGGGCGTTTGGAGAACTGCGGCACCGCCGGTGGCGGTGGCTATTCCGAGGGATGGCAGATGGGGAAAAGCGGGGCTGGGAAATGAAGGAGGGTGAGAAGTGGCCACTTCCCACTCCGGAGACCACGCAGCAGCGCCGGCAGCCCATTAGGGATGGATTCTGGCTTGGTTCACAATCGGGGGACATAAAAGTTCGTCCTGGCTTAGCCTGACCTCCCTGAGCCTCAAGTTTCCTCACAAATAAACCGGAGATAATAGTCCGTAGCTCCTAATTGTGAGGATTAAACGAGATCAGGTGGGTTAGGGGTTTAGCTGTACAGTACATAATAAGTAACTGCAGAAGAACAACGCGCACGCGCACGCGCACACACACACAAGCCAAGACGTTGAAACATCCATACTGGGCGTCTGTTCCTTCATACAGTAAGTAAATGGAATGCAGAAGTTTAAAGACCAGGGCCTGTGGACTACATTTCCCAGAAATCCCTAGGAGCCTACTACTCGCGAGCATCCCGTCGCTGCTGACGTCCCCCGGAAACACACACGTACGGGCAGCAGGCCTACGTCATGGCGGCCAGGTGCCTCCTCGGGGCTACCCGAATGTGGGCCATCTGGCGGCCCCGGGAGCTCCCGGACCCCGCCAGTGCTGGGAGGCTCCTTGTACGGGGTTATGCCAAGAGACCGGGTGAGCCGGGTTAAGGACGGGCACGGTGGGACTTCGGGAGCTGGTAGTGCGCAGGCGCGGTTTGAGAACTTGGTTCCCAGGTCAACGCGCAAGCATGCAGTCGCTGGCCCTAGGCTCTGCGCGCATGCGCATTCGGGACGCTCGCCACCTGGCAGTCGGGCACCTGCTTTTAAGAGACCTCTGGCCGCGTGAACTTACCGGTCCGAGGAGGGTGTGGGTTACTTTGCACGATCGCGCTTCCCCGCGCAGGCGCAGGTAGATAGCGCTCTACAGATAGTTACAGAAATTCAGGATGGTGTAGGGCGCCTCTTGTGTTAGCCACATAAGCAAAACGTAAATACGGTTATTTAAATTTTAACTGGACACAGCCTTGCCTAATGTTTGCTGAGAGGCGGGTGTTAGGCCTTAAAGACATAGCCAACGATACTTCCTCTGTGAGGTAAACAGAAGGAATCAAAACAGAGTTGAAAAGGAAGGACTTTGTTATTTAAGGCAGTGACTGAATCCCACTCAAGAGAATTCTGGGTGCCGCAGAGAATTCTGGGTGCAGCGTGTCCAGGCCATTCTGAAAGCTGGGGGCAGGAAGGGAGGCCGGCCTCCCAGGGCAGGCCTGGACTGAAACTCTCCCCTCACCTCCTCAGTGATTAAGGGGGGCAAAGGCGGTAAAGGCGGAGTGGCCGCTGAGGCCCTGAAGGACCCAGAGGTGTGCACAGACCCTGTCCGGCTTACCACACACGCCATGGGCGTCAACATCTACAAGGAGGGCCAGGATGTGGTCCTGAAGCCAGATGCTGAGTACCCCGAGTGGTGAGTGGACCAGCTCTGTCATCTGCCCAGTTGGGGCCACCGTTTGGGGGATCTGAGTCACCAGGGGCGCCTGATAGTGACATGCACCTGCGCTGCCTGCAGGGCCCTCGCCACTCTGGGCCTCAGCTGTCTCCTCTGGGAGTGGGAATCGTATTTCCTGCAGAGGTTTGTGTGAGATTAGTGAGATGAGGGTGCCTGTGTGAAACCTTTTTCCTTTTAACACTAACTGAGTGGTGACTGTAGGCCAGGCCTGTTTTATGCACAGGGGACACAAAAGGGCAAAAATCACATCGAAGCCCCTGGCTTTGTGCAGCGAGCTCGGGAGGCTGTCAGCAGGTAGTGAGGAAGCCAGACTGTGGACACTTCCAGGAAGCTGGAGAGTGGGTGACCTGGCTGGTCAAATCTGAGGTTTTAAGGAGGGTTTTCCGGAGGAGGGAAGCATGAGTCACGACTTGGGTGGCCGAGAGCGGCTTCAAAGGCAGAGGGGCCACCCATGCAGAGCTGGACCTGGCCTGTGAGAGGAACAGCAGGAGACAGTGTGGCAGAAGCCACCTGAGGTGGGGTGTGAGAGACGGGCAGGGAGGACGGGGCAGGAAGGATGGAGACTGCGGGAAGGATTTTGCTCTGGGCCCCAAGAGCAGTGATGGCGTGAAGCCATTGCCATGTGCTGGGCCTTAAAGCTGGGAAGGCTCAGGAGCTTGAGTGAGCCTGTGGGCAAGTACTACAGGCAGAGGCAGGAGCAGGCTCGGCATGTGCCCACCTCGCAGATGCCAGCCGGGTGTGGGTGGCTCCGATGTCACATGGCCAGGGACCAACTTGGGCCTCTGCTTATGGTGCCGGGGGTGGGGTACTATGGGGTGCTGCTGTGCAGCCCTAACTCCTGCTCATGCCACCAGGCTGTTCCACATGAATTTGGGACCCCCCAAGAAGCTGGAGGAGCTGGACCCTGAGACCCGGGAGTACTGGAGGCTGCTGCGGAAACACAACATCTGGAGGCACAACCGGCTGAGCAAGAACCGGAGGTTTTAGGGAGAGAGACAGGAGTGACCCCACCTGCCAAGGCCTCTCCTGCTCCCATGGAAGGCTGTTCTCCTGGAGAAGAGAGACTTTCCTGAGAACAGAGACCTTCAGCTGTGTGTCCCCACGGCGAAACTGGATGAGCGCCCTGGGACAATAAAGACCTTGGACTGTGCGGGGCCCTGAGGCGTCGGTGTGTCTGAGGTCAGGCCGGCGGGCCGGCGGCCGCCCTCATAGGTGGCTGGGCTTCTGCAGGTCCAGCCTCTTCCCCTGGCCCCTCTGGGCTCGCGTCCTGGTTTCCTGGTTACCCATGCTACCCGAGAGACCCAGCTCTGCTCCCCAGAGGAGAGGTTTTCCTAGTCTCCTGATCACAAGGGACTCAAACCTGACCCAAGTCATCTGCAGTAGAAACGCCTATGAGCTTTGGCGCCTGAGAGCTCCAGGCCCGGCTCAATCCAGGTGCCCCAAGTCTGTGTCCTCTTAACCCGCCGTGGAGTTCACCCAGGCTGGGGTGACTTCAGGGCGCCTGGCTACCAACCCCCTCAGTTCAGCAAGCCCAGCCAGAAGGGAAAGATCTGCTCCCCCTCCTTTTAGGGCGCAGGAGTTGTCTGGGTCGGCCAGTCACGGGAGCCGAGCCCTGAGCCTGCTGACGGCCAGGCCGTCCCGCTGGCGCCCGGGTCTCGGCCCCTCTGTCCCGCCCCCCCAGGAGCTGCATCCTGAGTCTGCCTTGGGCACCATAGGCCTGACCCACAGCCAGGGTGACAAGCCCAGCCCCTGCAGCTCTGGACGCCCAGCTGGCAGAGGAAGGGGCAGGGGGCAGGATGCCCAGGCAAGGCCAAAGGAGGTGACGAGGGGGGCACCTCACAGGGGTCTGTCTGTCTGGCCCCACCACTGTGCCCTGCCCGCTCCCCAGGAAGAGGAGGAAGGTTGAGTGAGTGAAGGGGGAGGGCTCCTTTGGGAGTGGGGCAGGCACCGCATGAGACTGGCCGGGGTGCCCCTTCCTCCAGGCTCTGCCCGTGGTGGGGTGGGGGCCCAGGGGAGCAGACCCCTCATCTGCTTGGGACTGACTGTGCCAAGCGGATTACCGCACACCTGCCTCCTTGAGGGTCTGCTTGGGCTGACGGGCCCAACCCCCCCTTGAGTCCCTGTGACCTCCAGGGCGAAAGCCAAAGTTGAACAACTGCAGGCCCTGCGCGACTGCCAGGGTCACTCCCAGCCCTGACCCCTTCCTTCTCTCCCACCCTCGCCCTGCTCCAGCCACAGGGTCTCCCTTTCCACAGGCGTGGGCTGCCCCAGGGCCTTCGCCCCGTGTGCGCTGTGCCTGGGTCGCTCCCTGCCGTGTCCCCCGGGCCCCTCGCTCACCTCAGGGCTCTGCTGGGGTCACGTCCTCTTAGACCTACCCTAGCCACCCTGGCCAGCTGCAGCCCTGCCACACGCTGGCGCACCCTCCCGGGTTGCGTCTTCTCCTCAGCACTTGCCAGCACAGAGCTCTCTTTGTTTTATTGAGTCTCCCCTCTGGAGTGACGTCTCCCTCAGGGCAGGGCTTCTGTCCACAGCGCCACTGCGCCCTGCAGCACGCTGGGTGGGCGGAAGATTGAGCGGGCGGGCTGGCCTGGCGGCCTCCGGGCTCGCATGAGGGCCAGCTGATGAGGTGGCCAGTGGCGAGCTCTGCTGGGTGCAAGGAGGGGGAGGCACTGTGGTCACTTCCTGGACGGAGCCTGGAGGAGCGGGTGCTGGCCACTGCAGCGTCTGACCCTGGCACCCCACTCCTATCCTGACCCACAGGGATGCGCCTGGCAGAGTTAACCCCTTCCCTGCCTCGTGACCGCCTCATGCTGGGACCTGGCCTGCTCCTGGACAGGGCAGCTCATGCCTGTGAGCCCTGGGGAGATGCGGCTGGGCTGGCTCTTGCCCCTGGGCTCCACCTCACCCTCGACTGTGGGACTGTGGTCAGTTTGGCTGATGTAGGCGGGGGTGTAGGCGGGGGGGGGGGTCCCCATAGCACCTAACCTGGTCCCAGCCACTCCTGGACCAGCCTGAGGCGGCCTGGCAGCGGGGCCCTGTGATGGAGCCAGCACTGAGGCTGAGAAACAGATCCAGCCCCCGCTGGCCGTGTGGCCCCAGGAAACGCCTTCTGTCTTGGACCTCAACTTCCTCTGTACAACAGGCTGGCGGCTGTGTCTCATCTCACACGTGGTCACAAGCTGCTCAGCAGTGGCGCTGGGAACAGGGACGTGAAGATGACCACACGGAACCTGATGTCGCTGGTCATTTCTTGGTGGGAGGGTGTTCTTGAGAGCCCGGCAGCTCTGCTGCTCAAAGGTTGGGAGGAACTTAGACTCCTCAACACAGAAGGACTGTCCAGTGGCTCCCAGTCACAGGCTCACAGCCCAAGAACCCCAAAGCCCAGCCGACCCATGCCTGCTTGACAGAGGGGGAGACTGAGTCCGGAAGTGGAGCAGAGACTGCCCGAGGCCATCGAGGGCCCTGCTGCCTGGCCTGGGAATGCTTTGGCCACGTTCCCGGGGCCTTTCCTATCCTGGGTGCTAGTCTCTGCAAGGGCAGGAAGTGGGTGGCCCTGGACAGGGAAAATGGGGACAGGGATCCCAAGTCAGGCACCCCAGTGATGGCCTGAGCGGGTGACTGGTCCCCATGACCTCAGGGTAGACGAAGGCTACCGTGGTGGTCATCCAGCATGTCCCTAGCCGGCGGTGGTCATCCGGCACGTCCCTAGCCCTTGGGAGGAGCAGGAAGCCTGGGTTCCAGGCCCATGCTGCTGGCCAGGCTCTGTCCAGGGCTTGGCATGCTCCTTGGCCAGCAACCGCCAGGACATCGCCTCCAGGGTGAAGCCGTCTGCAGGCTGGGCCGAGGCATGGGCCCAAGGGGGCCTGCAGCCCTGGCCCGGGCCCGGGGGGCGAGGGAGGCCTGGTGCCGCCAAGCTCCCAGGACACAGCCAGGGCTGCAGGGGCCGCAGCATGGTGGGGGGCGGGCAAAGGGCAGCGCCAGGCGCGGGGAGCCGCGAGGGCGCTGTGGATCCAGAGCCGGACTCCAGACGCCCCTGGCAGCGCCACCTGGCCCGGCGGAGCTGGAGCCACACCTGGCTCAGCAGAAGGGGTGCTCCCAGCTCAGAGGTGGGGAGGGCCTCAGCTCTTCCCACCCCACCAGCTGAGGGCTCTGCCTGCTGTCTTCCCTGCGCCCACCTGCTGCCGGGCCAGCATGCTTTATTCTGCTGCTGTTGACAGCTGCCTTGGGAGTCACTCTGTCACGGCCCCCATCAAGCCTCCCTGACGTCTCCCCTCTGTCCAGTCCCTTCTCGCCATTCTCTCGGCCCCTCTCAGGCCCCTCTGCCTCCTTCACGGTCTCTCGGCCCTCAGCCTGCAGCTGAGTCACTCTGCTCGGCACGCAAGGTCTTGCCTGGGCGTTCTCAGCTTCATTCTCTGCTTCCCCTCGACCCGCCTCACATCCGGCCCATGGCCACACCTCCGGCCTCCTCACGCCCCTCCCTGGGTGCCTACGCTGCCCACTCTCCTGCCCAAGGCCAGCGCCTGCTGTCTGTGAAAGCCCGGGCCCCGCACCCTCCTCCAGGAAGCCCACACTTCTCTGCCCATGCACTACCCACCGCCAGGGTCTGTATCTGGCGCCGCCTCGGCGGGATGGGAGTGACCTCACCTGCACGCGCACCTCAGGCAGGTGCACCGGGGCGCCAGGTCCTCGCAACTGTCCACATCCGGGTAGTGGGAGGCCTCCAGCGCCTGCTCCAGCTGGTGCAGCTGGTACGTGGTGAAGGTGGTGTGGTTCCGCCGGAGCTTCCTGGGGGCCTCCTCGCCCGCCCCCGGACCCCTGCCCTCGGCTGCTGGCCCCTCACCAGGGCTCTGGAACATGGCTCCTCGCCCCCACCTGGCAGGATGGCACATGATGGAGGGTGGTAAGGCGGGAGGGGCAGCTGGCTGGTGGCGCAGGGGAGCCCCCCCCCGGCACCTGCTGGTCTGGAGTCCCACAGAGGGCCCCCCACACCTGCGCCCTGCACCCACCCTGCCTCCCCCACCTCTGTTGGTTTCAGATTCTGCTGTCACCTCCTCACCTCTGATTACTTTTCTGTGTTTTCTGTCTCCCCAGCTCTATTTTCTGTTACCCCCTTTGGTCTTTCTGCCGTTTCACTCCATGTCTGGGACGCCAGGAAGGCTGGAGGCCCCCACTGAGTGCTTCCTGGTCCCCAGGCCCTCCCCGGGGGGCTCTCTGAACCCCCCAGCTCCCGTCTGCCCGCCTGTGCCCGTGCTCACCTCCCCAAGCCGCCTCTTGCAGCCTGGTATCCTCGGGACTCCTGTCCCGGCGTGGCGTCTGCTGCAGCCTGGCCCTGCCGACCTGAGCGGCTGGGTCAGGTGGGGACGATTCGCGCTAGTGATGAGTGGAGGGGCCTCTGCCCTGGCTGCTCTGGCTGCAGGTGGAGGGCTGGGAGGTTGAGGACTGGCGCTCCCAGGGTGCGGGGACATCGGCGACTTGGGTCCACCACTCCTCACTGTAGGATACAACAGAAGGGCCTCCCCCTCTCTGGGGCTCAGTCTCCCTGGCTGTAAACAGATGCGAAGACCTGCCCCATGGGGGCTCTCAAGGGGATTCAGAGGTGGGAATGTCCGGGATCCATGAGTGATCCGCCAGGTCAGGAATGGACCCTCAGGCTCACCTCTGTCAGTGGGAGCTGGAGAAGCTGAGGTCCCAGAAGGAAAGGGATTCCCAGTCTGCTCCCCTAGCTACCGAGCAGGGCAAAGAACATGGGGCATTTCAGGTGGGTTTTGAAGTACAAATAGAAGTTCACTCCATTCATTCATCTGACCAACATTTATTGAGCTCTTTGCAGTACACCAGGTATTGCAGTGTTCACAGAAGGGCATGAAACAGACAAGGCTCTTAGAGCTGCATCCTAGGCAGCGAGACAGACAATCAGCAACTATATTGGAAAAAGGCAAAGCGTGGCAGGTGGTCAGAAGCCCAGTAAGGAAATTCAAGCAGGGGAGGGGGGGAGGAGCGGCTTGCTCTTCCAAGGCGATCAGAACGGCTAAATTCTTGGGTGTGTGTGTGGGGGGGGGGAGAGCAGGAGAGGCGATCAGAACCAGAACCGGAGGCTACTCGGAGGCTGCAAATTCTTAGGTGTGCAGGGGAGGACAGGGGTGGGGGAGGAGAGAGCAGGAGGAGCACAGACCTGGGTGGAGTGAGGGTCACGGGGATGGTGAGGTGGGAGGGTGGGAGTGCAATTCTGGGAGAAAGTTTAGGGAGGAGGAAGGAGAATCCAATGATACCTACACCCCCATTTTAGAGCCAGGCGGATGATGGGGTTACCACGCGGGGAGCCTGAGAGCCTGAGCAGGCTCCAGGGGAAGCTCCTCGGACTGGCTGGCCAACCCTCCTAATCCAAGGGGCCTGGGGGCTCATGCAAGGGGGGTCCCCTGAAAACCAGGAATGGGGACCGTGGTGAGGAAGGCAGGACGAAGCTGAGGAAAGGCTGGAGAAGTAGTGACACAGGATGGGAGGGCTGTCCCTGTGGGCCAGATGGGCAAGGGAGAAAGCACACAGACTCTTCTAGAACGCTGGCTTTGAAGGAAGAAACATCCACAGAAAGGAAACAAAGAAAGTCCCACACAGGAACAGGGTACCAGGCCTTGGAGGAAGGGGTCTGCTATCCGAAGGGGGGGAGACCGATTTGGAGGAAGACAAGGCTGTGCCCCCCACCAACCCAGGCAGGAAGGTCGGAAGGGCACCCTGAGGGCCCCTCTGGGGAGAGAAGCCCCGTAACTGCTTCCTCAGTGAAAAGCTCAGGAGCAGCTTGGCCCTCAGGCCTCCTCGGCTAAGCGGCTGGTGGGTCAAGTGGCGTGGGGGGCTCGGGGGACATCGTGGGGGGTGGCTGAAGCTCCGGACGCTGTGTCAGCTTAGAAGCTGGACCAGAGCTGGGGGTGGGGGCGGGCAGGGAGACCGGCTGCCCCGTCCAGCTGGATTATGGACTTAACAGCAAGGACGAGGGACTCTGGGTCCCTCTTGCCGCCCCCCCCCACCTTTCATTGCTCCTCCAGGAATAACCACAACCCCCTTCAGGTGCCAGTGGGTAAACTGAGGTCTAGGGTGGGTGGGGGCCCAGGGGGCACAGCAGGGGTCAGCATGACCTTGGGCACTTTGTGGCCCCTGTGGGAAGGCCTGCTGTTAGGGTGGGGCCCTTGGCCTTCCGCAGCCTGGCAAGGTGGGGTGGGCTGGGGCAGGGCCCCGGCGTGAGCCCTCACCAGCCTGAGCCCCTGCCCAGGGGGGCGCTGGCAGCCCCTGCAGTGCCTGAGCGGCCCGTAGGCGCTCAGCCCTTCCCTAGGGAGGTCCACAGTCACCACCTCCAAACCCCCATGTTGCCACCAAAGATATGTGGCCGCAGAGGAGGCTGCGGGGGCTGGGGAGGGGGTGAGCCCTCACATCCCCATCACTGACTGCACAGCTAAAGGGGAGCCAGGCTTTGTAGGAGGGGGTTGGCATTGCAAGCCTGCAGCCTCCCTGCACCCCACTGTAAGAGAACACCAGGGCCCAGGGCCTCAGGACAGGTGATTCCAGGGTGCCCCACCCCGCGCTGATCCAGGCTGTCAGGCCACGGCATCGGAGCACAGGGGCGCGCAGGGGACACGCCCAGGTAGTGGCACCGGATCCCCCTGCTCCCAGACACCTACTCTGGCGGCGAGGATGGGACGGGTGGGAAGAGACAGGGGCCGGACCTCCATGCCACGGGCACTGTCCCAGGGCTGTGGGCCCAGAACCCTAAGAAGCTGAAGGTGGGGTTCCCACCACTGACAAGGCACCCCCGGCGCACCGCAGCGAGGAAGCTGTGGGTGACGGCACCTGAGTCCCTGGCTTGATCCCTGGGAACTGTGTCCCCCACAGAGGCTGTAGGGCCCCAGGGGCTGGACCCCCGCAGAGGGTGGAGATGGACCCCTGGGGGTGGGAGGACGCTGAGGGCTGCAGAGAGACTCAGACACCCACAGGCCTTGACACCAATCTTTATCCAGGCTTGGCCCTGCTCCTCCCCGGGGCCTCGGGCTGCCCAGAGCTCCGTGAGGCTGCCTCTGTGCCCCGAGCCAGAAGGCCACTTGCTGGCCTTGACCCTTCTCAGGCTGGAGCACACCCCTGCCCTGCGCCCCCCACCACCTTGGTCCTCTGGGGCACTGGGCCCCGCGGGGCAGGGTCAGGGCTCCTGGCTTCGGGGTGAGACAGAGCCATCAGCATCCTGCCCCCCAACAGAGGCTGAGGCACCCGCACTTCGAAGTTCCCGGGCCAGCTTCTCGGCCAGTTTGCGGAAGGCGGGCCGGCGGGCAGGTTCGGCCTCCCAGCAGCTGCTCATGAGGGTATGGATGGGGCCTGGGCAGCCCTCGGGAGGCTCCATGCGGTACCCCTTCTCCACGGCCTCTGACACCTCCTTCAGTGACTGCGGGCAGAGGGCAGGTGACACGGGTCAGGGTCACAGCCTCCACACACACAGGGGACCCGGCACCTCTCCCCAGGACCCCACTCACCATCTTGGGGTATGGAGCCCGGCCATATGAGAAGACCTCCCATAGCAGCACCCCGAAACTCCAGACATCGGACTTACTGGAGAACTTCTGTCAGGCCGAGATCAGGGTGAGGGCTTTTGTTCTAGGCCCTCTTCCTCCAGGAAGTCCCACTGGGTTGACCCACAATCTCTAGTCTCAAAAGCCTCCAGTCCCCAAATCCCCCCCAAACCAAGTGGATCCCAGACTAAGTGCTGGGAGAAAATCCTCCTTTTTCTCCCTCAGTGCTGAGCCCAAGCCTGTTTCAGAAATGGGGAAACCAAGGTCCAGACAGGGCCTCCCAGAAAGAAGCCAGATGGGGGTTAAAAGGAGCCCTCATGGGCATCGCCATGTCCTTGGAGATTCCAGGCCCAGCGATGTGTCCCGGGGTCACACAGCGGGGGGGTGGGGGTGGGGGGGGTGCCAGGACGGGGCAGGGCAAAAGGGGCTCACCCCGTGTTTGAGAGCCTCGGGCGCCGTCCACTTCACCGGCAGCCGGCTGGAGTCCAGCCCCTTGCGCTCGGCTTTGGCCAGGCCGAAGTCACTGACCTTGGCCACCAGGTCCTCAGAAACAAGGATGTTGCGGGCCGCCAGGTCTCTGTGCACCAACTTTTTGCTCTCCAGGTACTCCATGCCCTCCGCCACGTGCCTAGGGAGAGGGGGGCTCTCCGGCTCAGGCTCCGCCCTGCTCTGTGCCTCGGTTTCCCCTTGGGCTTGGAAGGGCCCCTCCCACCGCCCCCCAAGAGCCCCACTCACAAGGAAAACTGTAGCAGCTGGGGGATGTTCACAAGGGCACGGCCCCGAGTGCGCAGAAAGTTCACCAGGTTGCCCTGTGGGGTGCGCGGGAAGAGGATGGAGACTCCAGGCTGCCCCGACCCGGACCCCCACCCACCGCTCGCTAGGGACCGCCCCGAGGCCCCGCCCACCGGCCCCGCCCCCACCTTGCTCACGTGCTCCATGACGATGTACAGACCCTGGTGCAGGATCACACCCAGGAGACGCACCAGGTTCTTATGCTGCATCTTCCTGGGGGTAGGCAGGGGCGGGGTGAGGGCACGCCTGGACCCCGACCCCGGGACGCCCTGCCGCGCTCGGGACTCACGTCATGACAGCCGTCTCGTCCAGAAAGGCCTGGGCAGTCACGTCGCATTTAATGTTCTTTACAGCCACCTTCTGCCCCAGGTACTCGCCCTGCAGGACGGCTGGGAGCAGGTGAGGGGAGAGGGGGGTCAGGGCTGACCGGGGCGGGCCCACGTCGATTCCACTCACGTCGATTCCACTCACCGCGACCCGGCCTACGCCCACACCCCCGCGGTCCGGCGCCCCACAGACGCCAGCCCCTACAAACTCCTGGCCCCTGACCAAGGGGGCCTCACACTCCGGCCGGCACCCAGTGCGCTCACACGCGGGTTCCACACGGCCCAGGGGCTCCGAAGGGTGTTTGTATTTTTCCATAGTTGAAACAGAGATCACACTGCATGCCACGTGGCCATGATGCGCCATTCAGAGTCAGGGTCCAGAAAGTTCCATTGGCACGTGGCCACGCCCCTCATTTACCTGTGGTCTCGTGCTCACAGCGGCAACCTGTGACAGACCACGCGGCCCACAGGGCTGCAACTATTCAAACTCGGGGACTCAGGAGAATGCGAACAGCATCTCAGGGAGCCGATGAACGCAGAGGGGCCCGGGCTGCCGGGGTGAGGGAGCCGGGCACCCTCGCTGGGTCTGCGTGAGCTAGTGTACCTCTCAGCCTGAAGCCCCTTCCGCAGAGGGAAACAGGCGCGAGGAGACGCACCCAAGTGCAACTGGGTCTTAAGCAGGCGTGTGAATTCAGCTCTGCGGCTCCACAGCCTCAGCGGCCCCACCTTCCTCACTTCCCTCCACGCCCCCACTCACCTCCAAACTCCCCCTCTCCAATCTGCGTTCCCAGCGTCAAATGTTGCAGGTTCAGTAACCAGCCCGCTGTGGGGTGAAGACGCCATCAGAGGGGAAGGGCTGCTCCGCCCCGCCCCGCCCCTCGGGGGTCCACCTGGCGAGACACCTGTGGGGCTGCCCACCGCGCCCAGCCTGTGCCCAGGTGGCTCCAGCAACGGCCCCAGAGCCGAGTCTGAAGGCCTTCGGGCCCAGGTGGCATGCTGGCAAAGCTCCTGAGCCCGCCTGGGTTGAGAGCGAAGGTGTCTACGAGGGACAAGACTACGTGGCCCGGGCGGCCCCCTTCAGGGCTTCGGTCCGCTGCCTGGGCTGCCTCTCCAGACACACAGTGGGTCTTCCACGTCAGGGTTATCGCCAGGCAGTAAAATACGTAGCAAATATGGGACAGCCTCAGGAACCTGCCAGTGCTCTAAGTCCCGGCTCTCCGCGTCCCCTCCTCTCTCCTCTAGCAGGTTCCTCAGGACTCCTCACTTCTCAAAGCCCCCCCCCATCAGAAGTCCTTCTGTACGGTCACTGGTGACACCCGCCGCCACCCCGGCGCCATCCCGAGATGTCTAGATTTCCCCATGGGACGAAAACAATAATCAAGTTCACAGGGGTAGCCAAGGTAGTAGGCATGTGCTTCGGGCCTTGGGCACTGAGGATTTCAGCACCCAGGGACTGGAAAAACATGGAAGAGGAAGGGAACAGAATATACAGAGCTCGAGGCAAGAGGAGAGGAAATTAGCCACAACCTTCACTTGAGAAAGGGGGACCCCCCACACACACACAGGAAGGAGGTACTGGATGCGAAGACCTGAGGGCGGGCTGGTCAGGAGGGGCCTGGTGGCTTGGGGCTCAGGCCCGGGTTTCTGGCTCATGTGACCAGCCAGTTGATGGGGGCATAGACAAGGTGGCGATGTTGGCCAGCCAGTGCCTGTGGGCACCCGCTGTCCAGCCCAAGGGCAGTCAGGTCTTCCGCCCACAGTCCAGGCACAGCACCATGCTTAGGGGACTTGGTGCTGGCCATCTGCCCGGGCTGGGGGCCGGCTCCCAGGCTGGCCTAGCGTGGCGGGGGGCAGCACCCTACCCTTGGCCAGCTCCTCTTCTGCCGACCTGGCGCCCTGCTTCCTCTTGGGCTTCACGAGCCTCGTGCAGATGGCCCCTTTGTCCTTGCTGTAATGCTGTGAGGTGGCAGAGGTGGCCGTGAGCTCCACCCTAGGGGGCATGGAGCCCCTCGAGCCCACCTCCTCCCAGGGGGTCTCTGGCTGGGTGGGAGGGAGCTGGGGGAGGAGAGAGGGCTGGTTCCCAGGGACACCTTGGACTGGTTTCCATGGGAACAGGAAAGGATGCAGGCTAAGGAGGAAACAGGAGGATGGGGGGTTTCTCTGGATTGGTGTCAACTCGATGGTTTCCGGGGTGTCCCTGGAGGTTGAGCGTGGGGCACCTGTTCCCAGCAGGACGGGTGGTCCATGGAGGCCAGCCCCTTCTTCTCCATGTTGGGGAAGAGTGTGGTCCAGGGGGTCCCAGGCCCATCCAGGTGCCAGGATGAGGAAGGAGGGGCCCCTCCGTACCTGCTCTGGGGGCGTGGGGCTCTGGGTGAAACCCACCTCCACCATATCCATGAGGTTGCAGAAGCAGACAGCCTCGTCGATGGTGAGGTGGCCCTCGCGGTGCAGCACGCGGTAGTGGATGACGTCGCTGGCGAAGCTCACGCACAGCACGTAGTCACCCGGGTGCCGCGCGGACTCACGCACCAGGAACAGCCCGTCCTCGGGCGGCTGCAGCTGCTGCACGGCCTCCTGGCCCGAGATCTTCCCGTGGAACCACCTGTGGCCAGCGGGGGGTGGGCTGGACTGGAGAGGCCCAGGGCTGGACCTCCCGCCCCGGGGCCCTTCCCCGACACTCACGGCATGAGGCTGAGCTTCGGGTCTGTGGAGAGGGCCTCCCGCTCCCTCAGTGCCCCCGCAGCCAGCAGCCCCTCCTGGCCGCTGTCGTGGTGCTTGGCGCGGTACCAGCTCTTGCTCTGTGGAGGGGGGGGAGCCAGGGCTGAGTGGGGTGTCCGGGCGGGGCCCTGCCCCCAGGCACACCAGCCCCCCGCCCCCTCACCTCGCAGGCCTCCAGGATGGTGACCACGTCGCCCTTGCGGAAGGCCAGCTCCCCCGGCTTGGGGCGCGTGTGTTCACACTTGGTGATGCACTGGGTGCCCGGCGCCCAGCGCCTCTGGGGAGTAAAGGGGAGAAGGGAAATGAGGGAGAAGCAGGGGGAGAGGGCCCGTGGGACGAGAGAGGACAGGAATGCGCAAGGGACAGCGAGCCGAAGGGACAGGAAACGCGGGACATGGAGTTGCAGGCGGGAAGCAGCAGAAACACAGCCGGAGGGCGCGAGGAAAGGCTGGAGCCAGAGGCCGGCCAGGAGGAGAGGGAGGCCGCAGGGGAGCCAGAGAGACCCTGGCGGGCGGGCACAGGCCAGAGGGGCTCCTGCCCCGGGAGTAGGCTGAGCTGAGGAAGGGAATAGAGATGCCAGCCCGGGCACTCACCGTGGGCATCCTGGCTGCGATGGGCGGGGGGTGCCAGGCACGAAGGAAGCGAGGGCTCACCTGGGAAGGAAGCAGAGCCCAGCCTGAGGGCCCGCATTGCGCCAGCTTGGGGCCTGGGGTTGGGGCACTTCCTGTCCAGGCCTGGTGGACGCGGCAGCGTGGCCATCTCCAGGGAGGACCAGGCGCGGGGGCCGGTGGTCTTTACCCTCGGGAGTTCTTTAGCAGAGTCACGACCGGGCAACACCAGTGCGGAAACCACGGCACCTCGCCCGGCCATCTCTCCCGAGGGGAGACTGAGGCACCGGGCTAGCGAAGCACCAGAGGCCCCAGGCTGGGGACTGAGCACTTCGCTCCGGCACCAGCCGCCCGCACAGTCAGTGGGGAGCCTGGTGCCACCTGATCGTGCCTGCTTCTTCCTCTTTCTGGGAAGTGGGCAGGGTCAAAGATGAAACAGAAAATGATTCAAGGTCATTCCCTAATATCCCTGACCCTAGGGTGGGGCAGGGGCCGGTTCAAGGCGGCCTAGCTGGGTGCCTTGGGCCTGGGTGCCTCTGGCTGCAGCCGAGGCTCTTTGATGGCCCCAACCCTAACCCAGGGCAGATGCAGTCCAGCGGGAGGGGAGCGGGGTGGTGTCCAACCCCTGCCGTCCCCATCAACCCCACCACAGGTGTCTGGGCAGCGGGGGAGGGGAGACCAGCGTTTCAGCCTCTCCAGTAAGTGCCTCCCCTCAATCCCTGACCCCACGTGTACTCACAAGCATACTGATCCATGTACACACGCGCCCACACTGAAACCGGAGCTTGGACAGAGGTGGACACCCACAGGCACCCGGTATGCAGGCAAAGATACATTCACTTAAAGATGGGTGCTCGCAGACACACACACACACAGGCTCGGACCACCAGACACGTGTGTACCTGTCGCCTGAACACACAGGGACCCAGCTTGAACACCGGCACAGACGCGGGGTCACCCCGGCAGGCAGAGCAACGCACAGGGCCCTGCACAGGCATCTCGGCCGCGCGAGCACATTCCTCCACGTGGATGCACGGATACGCACAGCGCGGGGCTCACTCCCGCACCCAGAAAAACACCCCTCACCCCTCGCCCGATAGCTCCCAACCAGCCCCCACCCGGGCCGCTACCGCTGAGCGCCCAGGACGCGCACTCTTGCGCGCGCACACCGGCCCCTCCCGAGCTCGCACGGCCCCCGCTCAGCTCCCAGACGCCCCCCTAGGGTCCCGCGGTCTCTGCTCCCACCAGCCCAGCTCACCTGTTCAGGGGGCGCCACCGGGCCGCGCCCCGCGCCCGCCCCCAGGAGGGCCCCCGCGCACTGGCTGCGCACCCCGAGGCGGCCACCGCTGCACAACTTGGAGCAAGTTGCTCTGTTTCCTCATTTTGGGGGGTGGGGGTGGGTGGAGGACTGGGGTGGGGGAGCAGGAGGCGCTAAGGCCTGGGAGGCCCCTGCGGGTCCTAGCGCCGGCCGCACTGCGGTCGTCTCCGCGCAGCGCCGCCGCCAGCCCCTCCCGATTCCACCTCCACGGCCCGAGAATCCCGCGCGGCCCGGGCGGGGCTGGCGGTGGCGCTCTCGGGCTCCACGCTGGCTGCTTGGCCTCGCACCGCGGGGCGCGCACCCGCGCCCACCCTGGGAAGCGGAGCCTTGGAGCCTGGAGTGGGTGCATACTTGGGGTGCAAGGGTGGAGGGGAAGTGAGCTGCTCATTCAGGGAGGTAAGCAAGTCGCTGAACGTCTTCTCACTCTGTGATTCCAAAGCTCCAAATGACCTCCTGTGTCCGTGCAGGGAGGGGCGTGTGCCTCACTTCACTGCCTGCTGTAACAGAGCTGCTCGGCCTGGGGGCCCCCCGGGAAGCACTCAAAGTGTCAAAGCCTATCCATGCCCTGTCATCATCCACACTAAGGGGAAACTGGGGCAACAGAAAGGGATCGTGTGGAACTGGAGGCATCCAGGTGAGCAGCCCTCCTTGGAGAGGGGCCAGCCCACCTGAGGCCCGCCCACCTGCCAGAGGCAGGTGGGCACTGCCCCTCTCAAGCTCAGTGTCAGCACCGGCTGGGCCTGGCCTCAGCGAGCCTCAGTGAAGGCCCTGGAGCCCTGGCTTCTGGGAACAGAGCACCCGTTGGAATTACAGAACATCCCAGTACGGCACATCATGCATCAGAAACTGGAAAGCTGCAGTGAGGTGCTATAATGCCCCTGCAGAAGGCAAGCACAACGCAGACGCATCCATTCAGCCCCACGGGCCAGGACAAACTGGTGGGACGTTCCAAAGAGGCCCCAGCTGGCACAAGATTGTCCTGAGTGAGCGGAGTGGGCGTCTGTCCGTTGCATGGCTGGGTCCTGAGCAGTGATGGCATTTGCAGGGAGCGCACCAGGGAGGATTCCTGCTCAGCGGGACTCTGCTCCCTGAATCTGGCTATGGGAGAGCCCCAGGGTGGCCCTCCACCTTGTAGCTACAGACTTAGCTTTGGCATTTGGTTGGGCCCCCAGGGGCCAACCATATATGGCCAACCTCATCCCTTGCCTGAAATAGAAACACAGCATCAAAATAGCCACAGCGGAAACCCAACGGCATCATTACATTCTCACCGGGAGACTGGCGGTCGGGGCCCCATGGCGACCAGCCTGCCTTCTCTCCGCAGTAAGGACGTGAGTCAGCGCTGGAGACACCCTTGCATGGACACGCAGCGCAGCTAGAGACGAGAAGTGGGTTGAAATGGGTCAGCTTTCTCCTGAGAGTCGGCGGTGGTGTCTGTGTAACACTTATATCCCCCCGAGGACCCTGGGGTTCTTGTCCCGCCCCCCAGAAGGCCTTGTCACAGAAGGGGCCACGGAGAAGCAAAGGGTGTGCAGCCAGGTAAAGGACAGATTTCAGGAACCAGCGCAGGTGCCAGAATCGCCAAGCGTTGGCCCGGGTATCATGGAGCACTGAGCTGGGCCTGTCTCTAGGGGGTAGATCTGAGTTCATGGTCAGAGTCACAGAAGGGTCGAGCTCCCTGTCACCAGCGGCACCCAGCACTTGGTCATTTTTATTCGCTATGACTCAAGGGCTCTTCCAGTCCCCAGCGCTGGCAGCTGGAGCAGGAGCCTCGCCCGCATACGCCGCCGTCACGCGGGACTCCCTGGCTTCCCAGGCTCCTCACTCGCCACAGTTCACACATCCTCTGAATTCTAGGAATTCTCTGGCCCTCGGGCTACCTTCCTGGAGCCAGGTGGGGACACCCCGCCCCTCCCAGCCTCCGGTCACCTTCCATCGGTGTCCTTGACACATTCCCCGCTGCCAGCCGTGGCTGTGGCTGTGGTCCTCCCTGCCCCTAGTGCCCACAGCTGCCCACTGCCTGCAGGACAAAGCCTAAAGCATCCAGCCTGGCACCCAGTGCGCTTCCCACTCTGCCTCCACCTGGCCTCTGACTTGGTGGTCAGGCAGTGCCGGACTCCATGCTGGCTGTTTCACCTGGCTGGAATGCCCTCCCCTGCCAGTGAGCATCTGTGGCTCACCCTCCTCCTGCCTGTCTCAACTGGCACCATCTTGGGTGCCCCTCCGCCTCCCCGAGCAAGGCCCCCCTTCTGAAGGGAACCCCCAGTGGAGGCCCCAGTGCGCTGGTCTCCCTGTGGACAGGCCTGGACCTGCACTTGGTGATGGAGCCACCAATCTACCTGAGGAGGGCAACCCAGAGGAAACAGCTGAGGAAGACCGAATCGCCAGGGAGAATTCAAATACTTGCACCCGGCCGTGCCCGGGGCCAAGTCTTTGCTCTCTGCCACTTGCGATCAGGTGAGCCCCAAACCCAGAAGCAGGTGTGGGAGTGCACAGACGGCGCGTGGAACTGGTGCCTCAGGCCAGACTGCCCTAACTAAGCCCAGCTAGGAAGAGGGATCGCCTGGGTTTGCCCGCCACGCGCCCATCATCGGCCCTCCACGCACGGACCACAGGGCCAGGCCAGAGAGGGGGGCGCCTACTTGCCAGAGCCACGCAGACGGCAGGACTCTCCCGTGAGGCTGTAAACGCTCACGCACGCGTCTTATTCTCTTTTACCGGCAGGGATGAAAGCCACTGCAGGCGAGGGACAAGGGCCATCGGGTGACGGGGCTGGTGTGGTGAAGGCATCCGCATCGGCAGCTTCACAACGGGAGGCCTGAGGTGCTGAGGCTCCAGGGAGGCAGGCAGTCGTGGTCTCCGAGGGAGGCCGTCCGGGCAGCGTCAGCTCCCCAGGCCCCTGCCATCTTGTTCTTCAGCCGGCACTTCTGCCTGCCTGAGCTGCGGCCACTAGGGAGCAGGAAGTTGGCGGGGGAAATGTGCCTCTTGCTTGTGAGGGCACTCCCTCAAAACATGGCCTCGTGGCCAAACCCAGAGGCTGGACTTGTCCGCAAACAGGTGCCAAGGTGGGCAGCGGGCGGGACCTGTGCCCACCCCTCGAGCTTCAGGGCACCCACTTCAGGGACCTTTGCATGAACCTGGCTTGGGCCTGGAACTCTTCCCCAGACACAGCCAACGCTCCAGAAACCACACAGAACATTCCATCCTCTGACACTCAACCCACTCTCCCCCTGTAGCTCTGGGAAACCGTTATCCACACCAACCCAGAATTTCATTTGCTTATCCTGTTTACTGGCAACATTCTTCCCAGACCTCAGCCCCCTAGAGCAGGGATTTTGGTTGGTGACATTCAAGGCTGTGGACTCAGTGTGTGGCACACAGGTAGTCAGAGCATTGTCCTTTAAGCCGTTTAGTGCCAGGCAGCTGTAGCCCGTGAGGTCGCATATTCACTGTACTCGTCTCACAGGTGAGGCGCTGAATCTTGCACAGGAGGTGGTGGGCTGGGCTTTGCACCCACCGGGTCCGAAGATCCACATGCCAGGCCCCTGGCAAGGTAGAGGGCACATGGAAGGTGCGAGCGAGCACGTGCCCCGAACTGGATTTGCTGCATCTGGAGGTGGCTGTGCCAGATGTGAGGACAGCCGCACTGCCTGGCCCAGAGGATCCTGGGCCGCAGCCGTGGCGGCTCAGACCGCCCCAGTTAGACACCTTTAAATTTAGCTTCCTCCTCCCTGCCAGGGGACTCGGGGATTCAGCAGCCGAGGCTCTGCTCCTGCGAGGAAAAGTGCTGGAGAGCCGGCACAGCCTGCGCTGCAGTCAGGGTGGGCTGAGCCACGCTTCCTTCTTTTAATGAGCGGCTGCTGGGGCAAGCGGCTTTGGGGTGCTGGGGGAGCTTCAAGCACACCTGCCTTTGATGGGGGAGACTGCCTGCTCTCGCCACACACCCCTCGCCTGTCTTCCTTGTAGAGAAGGCGGAGCTGGCTTCGCCATTTTCCAGCCACACTTGCAGGCTGAATATCTGCAACCGGGGCTGGTGCCACTTGCTGGCTTAAACCCATGCAACACCATGGCCCGCTGCTTGGTCAGACCTCCGTGACCCCTGTTCTCAGCTCCCGTGGCGAGCGGCCTTTATGCACCACCACCCCCGCCCCTCCAGCTGTCCTCAAGCACCCCAACATTCTCCCAGCTCAGGGAGTTGCACATGCTGTTCTGGTTCGCACTGTAGCCATACACCACAGAACCGTGTCTGGCCAGTGATGGACGCCCCTGCACCGTAAGCCCAGGTGGGGAGTGGGTGGACACCTAGGTTTGTGTCATAACACCTTGACGGTTACACAACCACAAAGTACTCATTCTCAGAACTCGTTCTCAGACCTGTTGCCTTCACTGTGCTGCAGGGAACGACAGGCCCTCTCCAGCTTCCTCAAGGCTGGCTCTTCCTCAGGATCTCTGGCTCCAACAAGAGACCCTTCCCGACCCCTCTCAGAGGTCATCCACAATCAAAGCTCCAGTCACCTGTCACCTGCCTTACTTGCTCTCATTGGCTCCTGGCTTCTCTCCCTGGACAGACATATGTTCTGTGATTGAGGACATCTCTGCAGTCTGGTCCCTGCTGGAC